AAGTTGGTATAGGGTAGACACCTTGAGATGGAAATCTCTATGGCCAGTGTTAGAAAAAAAGCACTGCACAATTTATGCATAAATAAAAGTTAATTACCTGAAAAATTTTCGATATTTCCGCTCCGAATGTGTTCTTCAAACTGAATACACCTTTTGACGACGTTCCACGTTCTTGAATGTCGCCATGTTTAGTCAAAATTTACTCGTACAACGATCCTACTCGTTTTCTAAGCTGCTTTACAGACAGCTCAATCATTTGCCACGCCGATGCTCATTTTTGGATTAAATGCTCACAAAACGCGTAGATGTTCAATTTGTGTCCGGGGAGATACAATGTTTCGAGGTTCAACAAGGAACGCCAGCTATTGAAATTAATTCGAAGTGGCGATTCCCATACAAAATTTTTAGAATTTTTAGATTTTTTCATAACTATAAACAATATTTGAAAAATTAAACTGAGATTTGAGGAAACTCGTTATATTATTTTCATTAATGACACGCTAACCCTAATCAACTTGAAGGCATACCAAAGGTAATCTTAACGCGCCTTTGTTTTGCTTTGATTGACGTCAAATGTTTGACAGCTGAGAACAGAGTAGTTTGTGTGGGAAAAGGAAAGTGTTGTTTTTAGTATTTTCCTCGTAATTTTTATGTTTGTTCTCTCCATAAGAACCTTCCTTGGGCCATAACAAAAATATGAAAAAAAAATTAGCCGAATTGGTCGAGCGGTTCTGGAGTTCTGCGCTTAGCAGCACATTTGGTGATTCATTTTTATTTATATAGATTTAAATGGTTATGATATGATGATCAATGACCTGAATGAAATAGCTTTATATTAATTTAGGAAATTACAAGAAACTTTGTTAATCGTGCAACAATTATGGCCTTATGGCTACAAATTCGTAAGAAATTCCATTCCTGAGGTTTTAAATTGTTTGATTCTAATCTGTTAGACATTTGTGCAAGTTTGTTTTTTAAGGAAACAAGTTTTTTAAGGAGGCATACACTGAATTCTATCTTAGCATAATAGGAAAAGAAAATGTGCAAGTGCAAACTTCTCTCCCATTAATAATTGTTACCTTTGTGCTTTTGCTCAAAATATTGCAAAAAGCTTGAACCTTTGCAAATGTAGTTCTTTGGATTTTTTTGTACGCACAATCAAAACACACAATGGACTTTTCAATATCCACGGATACTATGAGGGTTAAAATAAGTATGAGCACAGCTGCATATATATCTCTTGGGAACTTTCACACTTCTCTTTTTCAAAAATATCTATATACATATTTTTGTATCAGCTAACGGAACAATAGGGGTTAGGTTGTCAAAGCTTTCTCAGAATTAGAGGTACTATATGATCAGTGATTATATGTGTATTGTGTAGGTACTTTTTGAAACGTCAATGTAGAAATCCGTATGAATATCGTCAATACATTTCGCAATATTATTGTAAGTATGGCCAAATTTTATTCGTGTACAAGAAAATGCCAAAGATTCGTTTTCAAAAGTATCTGCATCAATATAATGAGCTGTTTTGTCCAAATATATTTTTTCATTGGCACTCCAAATATCTGTTTTTGTGTAAATATATTGAAGACATGTGAATAGTTTTTTGCATTTTGCTTTACACAAGGTATTTTAAAATGATTTTCATCTACTCCCCTATAGATTTTCTAAGTATGTAAATTAAAAAATATCGTTCCACGAAGGTAATGGCTGGAAAGTAATTGTAATTATAATTGTTGGTTGCAAAACTACCAAACACTCTTGAAAAAATAAAGTTAACTCAATCTCTTCTTCTATTTGTTGTTTAAATTCCTTCCCTGCAGTTGGAGATTTTTCGTTTGAGAAAAGCTGCCCACTTTATAGTGCGCATGTAGTAGGTACAAGACACAACGGTTATTTGTTGGTGTTATTTCAAAGGTAATTCGCTCCATTAATCTTTCCAGATGATTCATTTGTTTTTTCTTATAGGTAGATCTGATTTTTGATGAATCCAAAAATTGAGAAGTCCAGTCTTCAAGAAATCCTAAATTTTCTTGAGTAGTATCAGCTGTAGCTCCATCTTGTTGGAAGAAACCACCTTCAAATTCTTCTCAATGCACCTGTTCTAAAAATGGTTCCAACAGTTATTGCCTGTAACGTTGGCCATTAATCGCATTGTGAAAAAATATTGCCATTTTTTCACGTGATAGGAAGAAGAAGTTGCAATATTGCATCCGACGGATGTCATAGTGTTTATAATCGTGTTTAAAGCTTACAAGTTCGGAAATGACATAATAAGGTAGGCGAACTTAAAATTGGGACTATTTTTCAAACGTATTTACTATTCAAACGAAAAACAATAATGTAACAATAACATTATAAACTTATTTCTTAATAACTCCCAATGCTTCATTAACAGCCACTTCATTAATTCTCTTGCGGTTGTTCCACAGCAATCGTTTGAAGTATTTTTCGTCAAATTCCTTGATTTTCTTTTTTATTCGCTGCTTCAATTGCCTAAATGTCGAAACTGGCTAGTTTTCTTCAAAATATAAGTACTTTATTCTTTAAATGTGACCAAATAATGTTTACTTGAAGACGATTTGTCGTTTTGGAAAGAAAAATAGGATTCATCATCATAAATCATGTCTTTTTTTGGCACTGAGTATTGAAATCACCAGAAAATAGGGCATTTAATCTGGCTCTTTGTCGTTCTTGTCGTTCAGTTGTCGATTTTCATGCATCTATTATGGTATAACGGTTAATTCCTTTTTGTTTTAATATTTTCGATATGTGCCGATCTGACACATGATATTTTCTTGCTAACTTCGATACAGTCGCCCCATTTTTCCTAGAAAGTTTAACAATCTTCGGAATTTCTTCTTCCGTTAATTTTCTTCTTTTTTTTTCCAGACTCTTCTTTCCTTTCTAATCCACCACCTCCATCCAATGTTTCACAAACTCTATACATAGTGGTTTTCCCAATTACATAATTTTTTAATTCCTTAACCGCCAAATATTGAGCAATCTTTGGCTGCCTGTCATACACTAAATTTATTAATTTTCTTCTTCCAAGTTCTTTTAGTGGGGCCATTGCTAATATGACATTTTTGCTTAAAAATAAATTATCATTATAACAATCTAAAGGTCATATTTAAGATAGCACTGTGTAAATTGCTTCTTTATACAAAAATTGTGGAAATTAATTATAGTCCCGATTTTAAGTTCGCATACCTTACGGAAAAAAACAAAATGATGTACTCGGATCACACATGTCACGTTTAAAGATTGTCTACTTTCATTGGAAAACAATTATTTAACTTTTAGAGCACCTTTACCACATTAAATTATGTAACAATCTCTTAGAAAATATGTATTTACAACCAACACAAATGATTAAATAAAATTTACTGTGAAATATTTATTCTCCTAAATTTGATTAAAAAAACAACTTCTAAAGAAAATTTGCATAAGTCAAAATTAATCTCTCAATTAAGCAAAATTATATGAAACTAAGTTCTTTTTAAACCAGCTGTTTTTCTTAAATGTCCAAAAAATTTTAATTACGATGTCGAAGTTAAAACCAAGAAATTTATTCTTTTCCAATTTGAGTTTTGATAATAATTTTTTACAACTGTGCAGAATAATTTTGTGATAAAATTCAAATACGGTCCTTATAGGGAAAGGGTAGTGAAGTCGGAAACAGAATGTCTTGTTCTCTGAGCAGAAATAAATATTAGTTAGGAGTATTATTTATCAATAAGCAAATAATAAAAAACGTTGCAATTTTCACAGTAAATATATACCTACGTAAAGAACACTTCAACCAGTATATGTTAAGCAAATAAGTTTACTTTTATTCTGAATTTAAAGGTGTGGTTTTGGGAATATTTACATGTATCGAACTAGTGATAAATTTATACTTAAAAACAATTTGTTTAAGTTATGATTAATGTACTATTTTACTTCCTGAGCGTTGGCCAAAGAAATATTGTAATCGAATCCATTGGAAAAAATGCGTCTTTTGTTTCCGCCTGTCTGTCTGTTTGTCTGCCTATCTGTCTGTCCTCCGTCCATGACGATTTTTGTTAGACAGACAATTTTCGAAAATATCTTACCGATTTTTGTCAAATTTTTGTATTACTAATATCATGTAGATGGTGAAATGCTAACCAAACTTTTTCTAATCATCCCCACCAACAATGTGATGACGTCACCTTAAAATTCTATATAGTAAAGTACACGTCATTACACGTGTAGTTTATGAATCCGTATTCAGTTTTTAACCGAAACGTCCAGATTTTTGGAAAAGTGATCATAAGCATGGTGAATTTTTAATCAAAATATATATAATTATCGTCTTCAATAAATCCTATCTAAAATTTGCAAAACATGATCGAGTCCACATTTGTGATTTTTCACTGCATTCGTACTAAAAGACACGTCAGTTCTTCCGGTCGATTTTCCTTTTAATACGCTTCCCGTTGTCCGAAATCTGTCTATAATTTGGTAGACGTGATAGTACAAGGCAGTACCTTCAATAAGTTTGTTGGGAAATTTTAGTCGAAACTGTGCCTTGATTTCAGGAATCGCCAATCTCCATTTATTAAGCGTCTACTTCGAAAATAAGGTTCAATATTAAAAGTGTTTTCTCGTATGGTATACATTTTATTTGCTTATTAATCGAAAGTTTTGAACAAGTATTGAAAGTGATTGACTATGTACCATGTGTTCATAAATTATTTAAATCAAAGGATGCTATGCGATTGTGCACTTAGGTGCGAGGGAAGTTCTGTCGAAACAACTTTTTTTTCTAGTTCCTCTTCTAAAAAGCCAGTTGCACTATAGCAACATATATATAACCTCGACTAAATTAAAAATTTTAATTGTTTATTTATAGTCAATATTTTCTTAGTAATAACAAGATCAAGGGCAATGACATCAGTGCATTAAAGATATACTTAATTTAAACAAACAAATTTCTAAAGTTCTTCGTTATAATTGGTTATTAATTATTTAGTTTTCGCCCCATAACAGAAGGCACGAAGCCATTACGTCACATTTATGAACAACAGTTAACAAGTACAGTTGCACGAATTGTTGTAAAACAACAACAATTAACCAAAATTTAACAACATTGTCATTATTCCCAAATTCCAGTCGACCCTGAACTTGTCACTAACCGCTTCGTTACCGAGATGATAGCGTTCTCGTAATATATAAACCTGAACAAACCAAAGCACTTCCCAATTTCTTCGAAATCATCGCAATGAAGAAGTTGTTCATTTTTCTCGTCACCGTTTTTGTAACAGCTGCCGATGATGCAGCAGTGCAAAAGTTTACAACCGCTAACAATTTGTTTGCTCGTAGCGTCTACAAGGTGAGTTCACTTTTTACTCTCATTTCGATAAATAAAAAAACTTAGGAAATTGCTCAAGGCAAACAAGGCAACTTCTTGGTGAGCCCTTTCTCGGCTGAAACAGTTTTGGCATTTGCCCAGTCCGGCTGTAAAGACGAAAGCGCTGAAGAAATTCGCAAGGCTTTGCACCTCCCGAACGACAAAGACAAGGTGGAATCGGCCTTCAAAACCTTGCTTCCAAAATTCAAGAGCAACGACTTGTACTCACTCCACACAGCGAACAAGATGTACGTCAAAAACAAATTTGCGATCAAAGACGAGTTCAAAACGTCCGCAAATCTGGTGTATCAAGCTGAGTCGGAATCCGTCGATTTCACTAAAAGTGTAGAAGCTGCGAAAAGTATGAACGACTGGGTTGAGAAACATACCAATAACAAAATCAAGGATTTGATAGAGTCCAAGGACTTAGACGAAGACACGAGAGTGGTGTTGATAAATGCTCTTTATTTTCAAGCGAACTGGTCGACTCCGTTCCCCTTGTCACTCACAGGGAAGAGAAATTTTTACAAAACCTCGACTGATAGTGAGGAAGTTGATATGTTACAACACTTTGATAAATATTTCAAGTACTACGAGTGCCCACATTTAAAAGCCCAGTTTTTGGAGTTGCCATTTAAAGGTGATGAAGCATCGATGGTGATAGTTCTTCCAAACGAAAAAGACGGTCTTGCGTCGCTTGAAAACCAACTGGATCAAGTGTTTTCGCCACAGCATGAGTTGAAAAAGACGTTTCTTAATGTGGTGTTACCGAAATTTAGAATTGAAACCTTTATCAATTTCGTTCCAATTTTACAAAAGGTGAGTCGCAGATCTTGTGGTTTTTTACAATTAGTGTATTTTAAATGTATTTGTCGTTGCACAGCTGGGAGTTAACCAAGTTTTCGATCCCAAGAAGGCTGATCTTAGTGGTCTCGCTGGTAACAAAGGAGACTTAGTGTTTGATAAAGTTGCCCAAAAGACCTTTATTGACGTAAGCGAGGAGGGGGTAGAGGCAGCTGCAGCTACCTTTGTTCGTAAGTACTCTACACAAATTCTAGAGGTGTGTGGTAATTTTTTTTTTAGTTATAGCTGTACCGGTAAGCGCTCCTCTGCACAGTCCGAAGAACTTCATCGCCGATCATCCATTTATCTTCTATATTAAAGTCAAGGACATTATCGTCTTTGCCGGTAGAGTTACCGATCCTTCAAAAGCTTAATTGTTTATTCTTCGTGTTAAGTCCAATACACTGTTAATTTTTATTATGTTCTTTGGAATAAAGTTTTTGTCTTTTTTATTGGTACAATGAAGAAAACATACTGCGCTAACACTTTGAAATTTTTGACGTATGTACACTGAGAAACATGAACGAAGATGACGTTGATTTTTAATTTCTAGCTTTTTCCATTTTCCAAATTTTTGATTTTTCAATTTTACGAATTTTTCACTCACAATTATCACAATTTTCATTTTCTTAGTTTTTAATTTTTCAGTTTTTCGATGTTTCAATCTTCGATTTTTCAATTATCAGAATTTTCAATTGTTCGATTTCTCAACTTTCCAATTTCCCAATTTTTCAATTTTTTATTTTTTATTTTTTTAATTCTTGATTTTTCAGTTCTTCGGTACTTCAACTTCACAATAAACCAATTTTTGTATTTTCCTATTTTTTATTTACCTATTATTGGATTTTTCCATGCTTCCATTTTTTGTATGTATTATATTTGTATTTATCGATGTTTCGTTTCTTTAATTTATCGATTTTTCAGTTTTCGATTTCTCAAGTTCTCAGTGTCCAGAACTTTGGTTTTTTAATTTTACGTTTCCAAAATTTTCGATTTTACAATTATTCAGTTGCTGAATATTTCGATTTTTTATGTCTCAATTATTATTTTTTCTCGATTTTATAATTTTTAGGTTTTTGTAATTCCCGATTTGTCAACCATTCGATTTTTGAATTTATCCCATTTGTCAGTATTTGATCCTTTAGTTTTTCAGTTTTCCATTTCTCTAGTTTTTGAGTTTTACAATCTTTAAGTCCTCGATATCCAATTTTTCAGTTTTTTTATTTCAAATTTCTGAAATTTTCGAATTTTCGAATATTCTAATTGTTAGAATTTTCAATTTAACGATTTCGCTTCTTTTCGATTTTTCAGTTTTACGATGTTAATGTTTCAGATGTCAGTTTTGAACTTTCCAGTTTCTCGATTTTTCAGTACATGATTTTTCATTAATGTTCTTAATTTCACGATTTTGCTACTTTTCAATTTCACCGGCAATTATCCGATTTTTCATTTTCTCAGTTTCGATTCTTCGATTTTTAATTTGTCCCATTTGTCAATTAATTGATGCTTCAATTTTTCAGTTTTCCATTTTTCTAATTTTCAGTTTTAGAATTTTTAGGCTCTCTATATCCAATTTTTCGGTTTTTTAATTTTACATTTCTGAAACTTTCGATTTATCAAATCTCTATTCTCAATTTTACAGTTTCTTCTTTTTCCTTCTTTTCGATTTTTCACTATTTGGTTTTTCAATTTTACGATTTGGTACTTTTCGATTTTTCAATCTTTCAACTTTTAAAATTTTCGATTTTTCAATTTCACGATGTTGGATTTTCAGATTGTTCCAATTTCTCGATTTTTCAATATAATTATGACTTTTCAATTTCTCGATTTTCCTATTTTTAAAGTTTTTAATTTTACGATTTTGCCGTTTCCCAATTTCACTATTTCTCAACAATTAAAATTTTTTTGATTTTAGAATCGTTCAACTTTTTAATTTCAATTTCTTAATTTTTCAGTTTCCCAATTTTAATTTCGCAGTTTCACAGTTTTTCGATTTTCTATTTTTCAGTTTTTTGTTTTTAATTTTTCGATGTTTGAGTTCAATTTTCGATTTTTCATTACCCGATCTTTTATTTGATTGATTTTTGAATTTTTTGATATTTCAACTTTTTCATTTCTGAGCTTCACAATTCTTCCTTTTTCAGTTTTTAATTTTGAATTTTACTATGTTACAATTTTTGTTTTTTCAATTATCCGATTTTTCAGTTTTGCGATATTTCAACTTAAGGATTTTACCGTTTTTCCTTCTTCACTTTTCCATTTTTCAGTATTTGATGTTTTAATTTCTCGATTTTTCAATACTTGATTTTTTAATTTCTGGATTTTCCAATTTTCCAAATGTTCAGTTTTAGAATTATTCGATTTTTAAATTTCCCGCCTGATCATTTCTCAATTTTTTAAATTTCCAATTTTTAATTTTTCGAATTTTTCTCGAGTTTCCGAATTCACAATTTACACAATTTTTTAATATTAGATTTTTCAATTTTTGGGTTTTTAATTTAAACATTTTCCCACTCACCAGGCTTTTATTTTTCAGTTTTCGATTTCAGAATTTTATGATAATAATAATAATAATAGTTAATTGACGGAATTATATCATTTACATTTATAACACTGACACATAATTTTAAATTTTTCTCTTAAAAACATCACAATTTTTTTTTTATTTTTCCATGTTATTTTTCGATTTTTAACTTTATATTTACGTATCAGTTTTTCGATTTTGCAATTTCACAATTTTCAATTTTTCGATTTTAGAATTATTCGATTTTTCAAGCTCTCGATTTTTAATTGCACAAGTTTTCAATTTTTGGATTTTTATTTTTCGAATTTTTCCATTTTTCAATTTTTCTACATTTTTTTTTCTCAATTTTTCCTTTTTCTTTTTGATTTTTAAATGTTTTTCAACTTCTCTCTTTTTTCAATTTTTTGATTTTTTAGTACTGTTGTTTTACTATTTTCCGATTTCACAATTATCCGATTTTTCAATTATTGAATTTTTACTTTTTCAATTTCTCAATGTCCCAGTTTTTGTCTTCAACTGTCAGATTTTTCAATTTTTCAATTTCTCCACTTTCCGAATTCTTAATTTTACTGTCTTTCCTTTTTTAGTTTTTTCACTTTTCATTATATGTATCATGGTTTAATTTCCCGATTTTTCAAACTGTCGATTTTCCAATATTTTAAATGTTCAATTTTAGACTTATTCGATTTTTAAACTTCTCGCTTTATGATTTATGAATTTTTTAAATTTCCAATTTTTAATTTTTCAATTATCCAATTTTTCGATTCTTCCTTTTAGAAATTATCCATTTGCCAAGTTATTTTTCAAAGTTTCAGTTTTTGATTTTTCAATTTGTAGAAATTTCAATTTTTCGATTTCCCAATTTTAAACTTTTTCTTTTTTTCTGTGTTTCTATTTTTCAATGCCTGATTTTTCGACTATATAATAATAATTTCTAATTCTACAAATTTTTCTTTTTCTATTTTCTCGATTTTTCAATGCATAATTTTTCGATTTCGCGATTTTTCGATTTTTAAATTTTCAACTTTATAGTTTTGTTATTCTCCGATTTCACAATAATCAGACTTTTAAATCCATGAATTTTTAAAATTTTTTTCAGGCTCGATTTCTCAAAACTTGGTTTTTTAATTTCTGGATTTTTCAAGTTGTCGATTTTTTGGCAATTTTTCTAGTCTTCAGTTTTAGAATTAATCGATTTTTAAACTTCTGGCCATATAATCTTTCAATTTTTATTTTTTTAATTATCCGATTTATCCATTCTTCCGTATTAGAATTTAACCATTTGCCAATTTTTCAAAATTTCTTAACTTTTAAAATTTCAGAAATTGCAATTTTTCACTCTTTTAGTTTTACATCTTCCGATTTCATTACTATTTTACATTTTTTGGATTTTAATTTTTCACTTTTTCAATCAATTTATGGTTTTTTCAATTTTCCGATGTCTCAACCCACCAATATTCCAATCTAACTATATTTCAATTTTTAATTGTTAAATTTTTAAATTTTTCAGTTTTTTGATTTTTCAAATTTTTGATTTTACAATTTTTCGATCTTCCAGTTATCCAGGTTTTCAATTTAGGAATTATCAAATTTCTCAACTTTCAATTGTTTAAATTTTTTGGTGTTTCGATTTTACTTTTTTTTTTTATTTATCCGGTTTCACTTCGATTCTTCAGTTTGGGAATTTATAATTTTTGGTTATTCCAATATTGGTTATCCGATTCTTTCATTTCTCGACATCATTATTTTGATTTATCAATTTTTCGTTTTGTGAATTTTTAATTTTTCAATATTTATATTTTTCAATCTCTGATTTTTCAGTACCTGGATTTTTCAGTTTCATGATGTGTCAGTTTTTCGATTAATCAGGTTTCCGATTTTCAATTTTATATTTACGTATCAGATTTTCGTTTTTTCAAGTTCACAATCAATTTTCCGATTTCTCAATTTTACAGTTTTTCTTTTTTCATTTTCTCCATTTTTCAAAATTTGATTTTATATTTCTCGATTTTTCAGTGCTTAATTTTTCAATTTCCCGATTTTAAAATTTTACGATTTTGCTGTTTTCCAATTTCATAATTTCTCGATTTTTCAAATTCTCGATATGTAATATTTCAGTTTTTTTATTTTTCAATTCAGTAAATTTAAATTTTTCAATTATTCTCGATTTGACAAGTTTTATTGCAATTTCCCGGTTCTAGTTTTTAGATTTTTCAATGCTTAAATTTAATTTTTAAATTTTTCAATATCACCAAAAATTTCGCAGTAATCAGATTTTTAAATTCATGAATTTTTACATTTTTTTTTATTTTTCAGTTATCTCTTTTTCAATTTCCCGATTTTTCAATTGCTCGATTTTTCAAAATTAGAATTTTTCCTGTATTAAAAATTTCCAGTGTTCATTAGTGTATGACGTTTTAGTTTGTCGATTTTTCAGTACTTAATTTTTCACTTCATCGTTTTTTCAGTATTTTGATTTTTTTCAATGTCAATTTTCGCTTATTTTAAATTTACATTTCCCAATTTTTCGGTTCTATAACTATTTGTTTTACAAAATTTTTGATTTTGCAGTTTTACAATTCTCCTATTTCACAATAATTAGATTCATGAATTTTTATTTACTTTTTTTTAATTTATGGATTTTTTAATTTCCCGATTTCTCTATTTTATAATTCTTCCTTTTTTTCAATTTCTCCACTTTTCAAAATTTGAATTTTAATTTCCCGATTTTTCAATGCTTAATTTCTCAATTTCTAGATTTCCCAATGTTTCAATTTAAGAGTTATTCAATTTTTCAAATTCCGACAATTAATTTTTCAATTTTACAATTTAATAATTTTTGGATTTTCGATTTTTAAAGTTTTGATTATTCGATTTTGCAATTATTCGAGTTTACATTTTTTTATTTTTTTTTGTATTTTTCAATTTTCGATGTTTCAGCTATGAAATTCCAGAGATTTCAAAAATTCCAAAGAAACATCTATAAATTTTAGAAAATCTGAAAAAATTTAGAAAGTGTGGGAAAACTGTGGTAGACCTATAAATCCTGAAAATACTTGAAAAGGTTGAATTTCGAAATTCTGGTATAATTGAAAATTGTTCAACAAAATATTAAAGCAGTTGCTCTTGAATTTAACTATGTGTTGAGGTCAACAATTTGTCCATTTATATATACCATTAGAATTTAACAATAGCTATCTTATTTAAAACGTCTACTTGATAAATAAATAATATTAAACTGTTTCTAGCAAGATAACGACGTTCATTTAAAGAAGATTCTTCAAAACTAAATTTTCTGTTGGAATTTTTTCCTTCCTTGTCTGCGTCGTGCTCATAACATTCCACTGACCCGACAGAAATATTTTATCTCACTCGTTACGTAAATACACGAAACACCGAAATCAACTAACTGTTGTTGTTGGCAATGGTCAATTAAAAACAAGTTATCCAAACTCCGATACAAGAACGTAAATAAACAATATAGGTCGGGAAAGTTCGACAGTTCGTGATTGTTTGTTGCCAAAGCAACTCGTACTTGTTAGAGGTCAGACACCACTAAGAACCAATTTTCGTTTAAAAACGATGACACCTATAATAATTTTTGCACTAAGTTTAACATTAACCACCGCTCAAAATCCAGTACTAGATTTCACCAACGCAAACAACTTATTTGCACAAGACGTCTACAAAGTAAGTTTTTTTTAATTTTTTTTAAACCTTGTCTAAATTTACCTTTTAGAAACTTTCCCAAAGTCAAAATGGCAACTTTCTGGTGAGTCCTTTTTCCGCAGAAACGATCTTAGCCTTGACACTCAGTGGCTCCAAAGGGGAAACCGCTAACGAACTGCGCAAAGCTCTACATCTACCAGAGAACAAAAGCCGAGTAGAAAACGACATTAAAACACTGCTTCCACAATTCAAAAGTAACAACTTCTACACCCTAGAGTCCGCCAATAAAGTCTACCTTAAGAAAAATTTTCATCCACATAACGAGTTCAAAAATTCCGGGGACCTAATCTATGGAGCTGAAACCGAATCCATCGACTTTTTCCCAAACACGGTTCAAGCAGCAAAATCTATAAACAACTGGGTTGAAAAACACACCAGCAACAAAATCAAAAATTTGGTAGACGCAAACGATTTCGACGAATTCACGAGGGCGGTTTTGGTAAACGCGCTATATTTCAAAGCAAACTGGTCGAACCCGTTTTTGCTGGCAGCCACAAGCAAGCAAAAATTTTACAAAAAGGAGAACCAAGTGGTTGAAGTGGACACTTTACGCCACTTCGAACAATACTTCAACTACTACGAATGTCCACATTTAAAGGCTCGTTTTTTGGAGTTACCGTTCAAAGGAGATGAAGCGACCATGGTGGTGGTGCTGCCCAACGCGAAAGACGGTCTTGGGGCTCTGGAGACCCAACTGGATCAGGTTTTCGCGCCGCAGCATCAACTCCAGAGGGAGTTTCTGGATGTGGGTTTGCCCAAATTCAAGGTTGAAAGTTCGGTTGATTTCAAGGAAATATTGGAAGGGGTAAGTTTGGTGAATTTAGTTTGTGTTGTAAGTGAAGGTTGTTTGAATTTGAAGCTGGGTGTGAAGAAACTTTTTGAAGAAAAGGTGGCGGATCTTAGTGGGGTGGCTGGTGAACCGGGAGATTTGTTTGTTAAGAAAGTGGCCCAAAAGAGTTTTGTTGAGGTTAGTGAGGAGGGGGTAGAGGCGGCCGCTGCTACGTACGTCCGTAAGTATTTTTTTGACTTGGTTGAAGATATTTTTTTTGAAAATTTATTTCTAGTTGTGGCTGTTCCCGAAATGGCGCATTTCGAACGTCCTAAGCAATTTATCGCGGACCATCCGTTTATTTTTTATATTAAAATTAAAGATGTTATTATTTTTGCTGGGAGGGTGACCGATCCATCCAAGCAATAAATGTTCAATCTATCGGTTTCAAATTGTTCAAAGAGTAAAGTAAAGATAAAAAATTGGTCGAAGATTATTTCGATAGGACTTCCCCCGCCCGTGAAATGCTAATTATTGCAAATATTGGTAAGGGATTTCGGAAATTCTTTCAAACTAGTTCAGAATCAAAACACAAGGAAGGGGTCCTCCAGATTCTTTCGAATTAGCTCAAAAATAGAAAAAAAGGGTTTCCTGCTTTTCCTTCAAACTACTTCAAAAACCACCTTTCCAAGATTTTTTAAAACTATTTCAAAAACAAAACAGAAGTTGAGTCCGAGATCCTGTAAACTATTTTAAAAACCATGCAAAGGTGTCTTCGAAATTCTTTCAAGCCACTACTTCAAAAATTAAATAAAAGTGGTCTCCGAGATTCTTTAAAACTATTTCAAAAATCAGACAGAAATAGTCCCCGAGGTTGCTTCAAATTGCTTCAAAAACAATACACACACACATAGATCCGTGAGATTCGTTCAAATTACTTCAAAAACAAGACAAAGGATCCTCACGGTTCTTTCAAACTACTTACTTCAAAAACAAAACAAAAGGGGTCTACGACGCGAGACGTCCTCAAGATTCTTTCAAACTGCTTCAAAAACAACAAACTGATAGATTCTCAAGATTATTTCAAATTATTTCAAAAATAAAACAAAAGGGGTCCTCAAGTTTCTTCAACCTATTTCAAAAACTGGGCAAAGGAGTCTCCAAAATTCTTCAAACTACTTCAAAAACAAAACAAAAATCAGTCTCCGAAATTCTTTCAAACTAATTCAAAAAACAGATACAAGGAGTATCCGAGATTCTTTCAAAGTACTGCAAAAACTAGGCATAAAGGGTATCCAATATTCTTTCAAGTTACTTCAAGATAAGAGAAGGCATCATAAGATTTTTTCAAACTACTTCAAAAACAAAACAGAAGAAGTCCCCAAGATCCTTTAAAAGTACTTTAAAAACAAAACAAACGGAGTCCCCGAAATCCTTCAAACTACTTCAAAAATCAAGCACAAGTTGTCTCCGAGATTTTTTAAACAACTTCAACAACAAAACAAAAAGGGGTCTCCGAGATTTCATTCAAACCACTTCAAAAACCAGATGCTTTCAAACCACTACAAACAGCAGGCATAAGTTGTCGTCGATGTTCTTTCCAATTATTTCAAAAGAAGACAAGGAATTACAAGAATTTTTAAACTAGGTACTTCAAAAACAACAGAGGTCCGCAAGATTCTTTCAAACTACTTCAAAAACAAAACACAAAAAGCCCAAGCGATTCTTTCAAACTACTTACTTGAAAAACCAGGTACAAGTGGTCCCTGATACTCTTTCAAACTGTTTCAGAAACACAACAAACGAAATCACCGAAATCCTTCAAACTACTTCAAAAACAAAACCAGATAAAAGGGGAGCCCGAGATTCTTCAAACTAATTCAAAAACCAGACAAAGGACTTCTGAAATTCTTCAAATAACTTCAAAAACAAAACAAAAAAGGGTCTCCGAGATTCTTTCAAACTATTTCAAAAACCAGACACAAGGGGCCCCCGAGATTCTTTCAAATTACTTCAAAATAAAACAATGGATTCCAAGGTTTTTTTAAACTACTTTAAAAACAACAGAGGTCCGCAAACTTCTTTCAAACTACTTAAAAAACAAAACAAAAAGGGGTCACCGAGATTCTTTCAAACTACGACGAACAGCAGATATAAACTACTTAAAAAAAGGTCCGCAAAATCTTTTCAAACTACTTCAAAAACACAACACAAACGGTCTACGAGATTTTATCAAACTAGTGTAAAAATCAGGCGTCAGGAATCCCCAAAATTCTTTCAAATTACTTTAAAACAGGACAAGGAACCACAAGATTTTTTTAAATTACATATTTCAAAAACCAAACAATATTGGTCCCCAAAATTTTTTGAAACTACTTCAAAACAAAACAACGATTTCCCGAGACCTTTCAAACTACTTCAGAAGGAAAACAAGAGAATCTATCAAACTATGTATTTCAAAAACCAGGTACAAGTAGTCCCCAAGATTCTTCAAACTAATTCAAAAACCAGGCATAGGACCTTCGAAAATTTTCAAACTACTTGAAAAACAAAACAGAAAAGGATCTCCGAGATTCCTTGAAACTACTTCAAAAACCAGATACAAGATGCTCTCGAGATCCTTTCAAACTACTTCAAAAACCAGACACAAGATATCCCCGAGATTCTTTCAAACTACTACAAAAAGCAGGCATAAGTGGTCTCCAATATTCTTTCAAATTATTTCAAGGCAAAACAAGGGATCATAAGATTTTTTTAAATTACTTTAAAAACAAAACAAAAAAATTCCCCAAGATCCTTTCGAACTTCTTTAAAAACAAAACAAGCGGAGTCTCCGAGATTCTTCGAACTACTTAAAAAACAGAACAAAAAGAGGTCTCCGAGATTTCATTCAAACCACTTCAAAACCAGATACAAGGGGTTCCCGAGATGCTTTCAAACTACTACAAACACCAGGCATACGTTGTCTCCGATATTCTTTCAAATTACTTCAAAAAAAGACAAGGAGTTACAAGATTTTTTTAAACTACTTCAAAAATAAAAAAGGTCCGCACGATCCTTTCAAACTACTTCAACAACCAAAACACAAAAAATCCAAGCGATTTTTTCAAACTACTTACTTGAATCACGTCCCTGAGAGAAAACACAAATGGGTCAACGAGATTCTTTCAAACTACTTCAAGAATCAGATACAGGGGGTCCTCGACATTCTTTCAAACTACTGTAAAAATCAGACATAAGGAGATTCCAAATTTCTTTCAATTTACTTCAAAGCAGCCAAGGGATGCCAAGATTTTTTTAAATAATTTTAAAAATCAAACAATAGAGGTTTGCAAGATCCTTTCAAAATACTTCAGAAACAAAACAAACGGATTCCCCAAGACCTTCCAAGCTACTTCAAAAAGAAAACGCAAAGGGTACAAGAGATTCTTTCAAACTGCTTCAAAAACCAGGTTAAAGTGGTCCCCGACATTCTTCAAACTACTTCAAAAACCAGACACAAGGGGCTGCCGAGATTCTTTCAAATTACTTCAAAATAAAACAATGGATCACAAGATTTTTTTAAACTACTTCAAAAACGAAAGAAGTTCGCAAGATGCTTTCAAACTATTTCAAAAAGAAAACGCAAAGGATACAAGAGATTCTTTCAAACTGCTTCAAAAACCAGGTTCAAGTGGTCCCCGACATTCTTCAAACTACTTCAAAAACCAAACACAAGGGGCTGCCGAGATTCTTTCAAATTACTTCAAAATAAGACAATGGATCACAAGGTTTTTTTAAACTACTTCAAAAACTAGGCACAAGTGGTTCTTGAAATTCTTGCAAACTACTTCAAAAACAAAACAAAAAAGGGTCTCCGAGATTCTTTCAAACTACTTCAAAACATGAGGAATCACAAGATTTTTTTAAACTACTTCAAAAACAAGACAAAAGAAAACCATGAGGTTCGTTTAAATTGCGTCCAAAGGGCGAAATATTTCCATTCTAAAGTTCGCAAATTTTTGCCAAAATCAATAAATTCTTGATACAGACGGTAGACGACATACAGCAGATAGAGATTTTTTCGGATTCTAGGTGCCATAAAACGTCGAGAAAACATCAAAGTAAACTTTTGTTCGGAAGTAAAATTTGAACTACAATGAGTATTTCCAATAATCGTCCAATGACATCCACATGTTGAATATTCTTATCTACAGAGTCTTCAAAATTTTCTGGAATAATTTAGTATTCTGAGATGTAATCATCTCGGGTTCCGCAATGAAAAACAACCAATAGAATAAATTTATAAATTAATGATCAATTATTTGAAGACATTCGACAGTATCAAATTAAATAAATATGCAATTAGGAAAAAAATGTTAAACTAGTTGACAGATTACCTTGAAAACCTGTCATAACATGTCACTACTATAGAACGGAACGACAAAGAAAGTCCACTTCTCATCGCAAAATGTAGACTTCGGTGTACCTCAGGGTTCAATATTGGGTCCTCTCTTATTTCATTACATATGAAAGATATAATAGGTTTGTGCATACGCAGTGATACTACTTCCATCCTTTATGCATCCATAATTTCTGACAAACTAAGAAATGCGCTAGAAATCAAGTGCAATGAAAATATAAGTTTTACTGGATTTTTAAAAAACAAAATAGTTTGACTGTCCCCTAACTTCTTTTATTTAAAGAAAGAACACACAGAAAGTTTTACGATATTTCAGATTTACAGTTTTGGCCTTAGTACCCTCCCCACAAAGACAACGACCACCTTAACTCTGATGTAATACATAAAGGGATGATCAGCCTTGAATTCTTTCGGTTCTGGAATGGCACTGGGGGGAATGGGACAACCTAAAACCAAGTTTAACTCTTAATATTCTAGGAAGCTAAAACACTCACTGATAAAAGTGGACGCTGCGGCCTCAACTCCACCTTCGTTGACATCGATAAAACCTTTCTGCACGATCTTGTCCATTATCAAATCGCCCTTGACACCCGTAATTCCACTAAAGTCAGCTTCACCCTCATTAAACGCTTTGTGCACACCCATCTAAAAATACATAGAGTATAGTTAAATTAGAATATTTTTAACAGTCAATAAGTAAAACCTACTTGTTTTAATAGTTCCACAAAATCAATCCTACTTTCGATTTTGAATTTAGGAACGGCAACTAAGACAGTTTCGTATGTTAAATTATGAGGAGCTAAAACCCTGTCGATCTGGCTTTCAAGCGGCCCCAACCCCTCTTTATCGTTGGCAGAACTAAAACCATAGAAGCCTCTCCTCCAAAAAACAATTCCAAAAACTTAGCCTTCAAATGGGGGCATTCGTAAAACATGAAATCATCTCCATAGCGACTACGCATCGTTTCGACCTTATGGATATCTTTCGACGTCACATAGAAGTCCATTTTTGTCGTAAGGTCGGTGAAAAAGGGTCGCGCCCACGAGTCCTTGAAATAAAAGGCGTTAATTGAAACCAGTCTAGTACGTTTGCTTAAGTCATCGGGTTTGACTAAATCGCGAATTCTGTTTCTAGTTTGGGCCTCCACCCATCGATTGATGGTCTCTGCTGCGTCTACATTTCCTGCAAAGTCGATAGTTTCGACGTCGGAAAAATATACTAGGTTTTTCAATTCGTCTTTGACGACAATGTTTTTCTTGTTTATGTAGAGTTTATTGGCGATTTGTAGAGTGTAGGTTTCGTTATTTTTTAATTTTGTGAGGACTGTTTTGAAAATGTTGTCGGGTAGATGTAGAAGGGCGTCGATTTCTTGCGCTGTTGCTCCTTTGGTGCCTGTTTGTGGCAACGACAAAACTATTTAGGCCGAAAATGGACTAACGAGTAAGTTTTTGTCTGCGTAGTTTTCGTTTTTAGAAATTTTCTGAAAAAATGTCTCACAATTTCGTCAAACTGAAAATACTCACCGATGTACTTTGTAGATAGACGAAGTGAAAAGGTCGTTGCTTTTGATGAAATTGTCTAGCGAATGGTCAGCTAATACTAAAGTTAAAATGGGCAAAACATGGATCAAAAACTTCATGGTTAAGCTGGGCTGAACTGTTGGTTTAACGGCAGACAACACGAAACTTGTTTTGTTATATATATTGAATATTAATACTAATTTGTAGGAACATCCATATATGTAATGCACTGTTTGATAAAGAACTGTTCGTTTTCAGTGTTTATGTAGAGAGATGCTACTCCTTCTACTGTTAAAGTCTGGACCTTGAAACATCGTAGCTTTGGAACGTTGAACTCGATCAATGACCTCTCGAATTACTCAGATATGATGTTATGCACAATGTTGGGAGTCATCTAGAAATTTTCATCTAGGTGAATTAAATATATAATTTATTTGTAACTATTGTCTATCAAGTATTCAGATAATTAAAAAAAAAGTGTCTTGACGTTTTATGTCGTATTTAAGTGTGTGGACACGACTAACAGCGATGTCAAGTTAGAAAAAAACATAGATATGGTATAGTGGTGGAAATACTCCAGGTGAAACTTTTCTTTTTCTATCCTATGCATTTTGTGTGAGACAAAAAAAATTACCAAATTTTTAGTAGATCGTAGGTATTAAAATTTTTCTTTTTTTTTTTTGAAACGAAATGAAAACCAAATGAACTAAAACAATTCAACAATTTATTTTAACATATACAAAACACCTGCATTATTTATATATTTACAATGTGCAGATCCGACTAATCTTGGAAAATAATTGAACAATTTATTTTAACATATACAAAATAATTGTTGCATTATTTACATATTTACAATGTACAGAACTGTTCACTCTTGGAAAACATAGGGTTATCATAGTCAGTTGTTCGGAGTAATCATTGTTTCATTACTAGTAATATCTAAACTTATAAACTACAATAAACAAAAATGAAAATATCGCTCACATGTCATGATACTTTTGTTACAATGATTAAACTATGATTAAATAAAACAACGGCGACAAGGTTGCCGTCAGTATTCGATATTTTTGCTCAACTAAAAAGGTAACTTGTAGTATTGTATGTACCTTATATCAATCATTCTCCCAAAATGAAATCTATTTCATTTATGTCCGTTAGTTTTGCCAAGAGAACTAACTTCCGTAGTTGCGATGCTTGTAGCATCTTTAGCATTTGGTTACAATTAATTTCCCACTTTTCCTTTGAAACAAACTTTGTCAGTTTGTCAAAAAAGTGCATTTAAGAGAAGTCGTTATGAAAAGCACAAAATACTCTGAATAAGTGTAAACCAACGGTCACTTTGTCTCTCGAAGAGAACAACTACGGCTTAGTACAAATGTTACGTAAACGAAGTGAGTAAAATATCCGACGATGGACAACATTCTTGACGTCGTTTCTTGTCAATTTGGAGATATAATTAAAAAGTATCATGGCACGTCATATTTCAAAATTTTTAGATATTTTATATTGGAACCACCCGACAGATGCAAATACAAAAAGGGGTCGTGAAAACACGAACAACGAATCTAGCGTTGATGTTTGTTAGAAGGTACGTATATTGAAGGCTTAATCGAATCATGTGGACTTTAGCATGGGTTGTTCATGCGTCTTTATTTAACATGAAAAGTGCATCTGTTGAGCGATTCTGATAAAAAAAAATGTAAAATATATGTACAAAATACGAATCAGAATTAATTGTGCGATGGAAAACTATCGTAATCAAAGTGTCCTCTGACTGAAATGATTTATCAATATATTAAAAGAATTTACCTGTGAGTGGTTTGGCAATACAAATGATATCACTTTGATTAAGATGATTTTCGGTCGCACCATACTGTTTTCTATGCAGTGATTTCGGAATGTAGGGACACTTTGTAGCTCCCACGATGACAATATGAACCTTCTCCTGATGGTGTAGGTAGTTTGCATAGATCCTTTGGCTTGGACTTCGTTTATCGTATGTTTTACTGCAATTTTAAATAATTTATGAGATTGTGAAACATTAAAATTTTAAAAGCTACCTTAAACGCTGTTATATTGATATTGTCCAGATCGGTTGGTGGTATTAAACCCTTTAAACGTCTCAGACATGTTTTGTGGGGATCCGAAATTACAACGCCTGTTGCTGTTTCAAATTCGTTATTCTGACGTGGACGAAAGAATCTATAATGCAATATGTTATAAATAAAAATAAGTACTTTCGTTGGGAAGTTTACCTCTCTTAAATTCGTTGACGTTAACTGTTGTATCCATTACATAGTAATTATTGACGAATGGCACAAGTTTTGGTACCAACTTGTAAAAATTTATGGAAACACTATGTACTGAAAAGTTAAACCAAATTTATAACGTTAATTTCAAGAGGTTTTTACTTACCTTAGTTTATGTGTTTTGTTTGTATTTTGAAAGTTGGATAGAAGATAGTAGCAGGACGTACGAATAAAATTTCTACTGAAATTTCATAGTTAGACAACCTAAATATATTTAGATGTTGACTCACCTAAGAGTGGCGTCTGGTTCTGTTTCGCCCAATACTAAATACATTGAAAACATCGTCGTAGTTTCCGGAATTGCATTTTTAAAATACTGAAATCTCCAACCATGTCAGAATCTAAGTAAACCTGCATTCTGCTACCGCATCACAGCTCGTTTAATGCCGATTTCTCGTTTCAATAGATTTTGATTTTTCGCGAGTTATTTAGCTCAGTCGTGGATTTTTTAATATTATAAATGGTATCAAAAGAAAGCTGACTTTTTTCCCCAGGGGACCTCCTATCTCAGAATGCAAAAAACTTCAGCACTTCATCAAAAAATGCATCAATGTGCCGGTTAAAATGTGATGTAAAAGTTGTTCAACTTTATAATTTTTTTTGTAAAAACTGCATACTAGATATGAATATAAATATGGAGGTCCCCTGGACTGAAGTTTGTTAACTCGAAATATAATTTTTTTAAAGCGATATATCTCATATTTTTAAAATGCAACTCCGGAAACCGCGACGATGTTTTCAATGTATTTATTAGTATAGGGCTAAACCGAACCAGACGCCAGCCTTAAGTGAAAGTTGAAGCTTATCTGAGTGTGTATTCATGTGGTTGTCAGTTAATTCAAATTTGGGATACTATCAAAATAATTTATCGAAAGTTCCAAATTTTGTGTCATTAAAAATAAGTCGTCATGTCAAATTAGTCATTAAATTGAAATATATATCCATGAAAGAAAGTGTTTTGTTTTGATTTGTTTGATTTCAAATTAAACTTTGTTTTTAGTTTATTTATTCAGTGTCGGGATTTGAACGAATTCGACATAGTTTGATGATCAATAAATAAATAAAGATAACACAAATCTGGACACTATTTTAAGACAGATGAAAGATACACATGTATGCGTATTATTGAACTGCAACGATATTTCTAAAGTTTTCAAGTGACATAGCATTCCATTATAAAATTTTGAGATTTTTATAAGTGAGATACCTATAAGTGAGATAACGGGAAAAAAACTAGATATTTTCATTTGCTGAGTACAGGCTTAACTTTGACTGTTTATGTTAATAATTCGAAAGAATTCGATTATTAGCACGTGTAGTTTACAAGCAACAGCGGATAAAAGAAAATGAAATTTGTCTAATTTTTTCTCCTCAACGCAGAAGAGAGGACTGATTGATAAATCAACCAGACTCAGTTTTTTCCTCAAGAATTTATTTGGCAATTTTGCAGAATAAATTTTTTCAAATTTAAATTGTAAAATATTGTTATAAAATTTGATTTTTTGGGGAGACCATCTACGAATAAATTTTGATTAAGATTTATCTATAAAACTTACAAAAGGACTAATCAAGTGGAAAAAAGAAGGGCTGGACAATGTCCAAGAAAGTTAACTCAAAAACAAAAAGAGCAATTGGATTGTTGACGATTGTGTTTTAACTCTTAAAGAAATCAAAATAACATTGTTGGAAGAAAATTTCAACTAGAAATAACCTTATCTACCATAGATAGGGTTGTCAACGAGTTTCACTACTTCTTAAAACCTGTGTCATTTATACCAGAAAGCCAACAAAAAACCTTTTTTTTGATGAATTTGGAATATAAAAACATTCTAGAAGTAACTGTAGTGGAAACAACGTCAGAGCTCAGCTGAGAGGCCGGATTTTGGGGAATTTTAAACAACTCTATTGAATCACGTACAAGAAGATAATATTAAGGGCGCACATACTGTAATGGACAATGTAAGATTTCATAGAAATGAAAAACTCAACAACTTATACGAACCCATGGACATTTTCTTGTCACTCTACCTCCGTACAGCCCATTTCTTAACTCAGTTCCACAAAAGATCAAACTTGTTCGAAGTATGAGAAGGACGTGCCCAGCTCTATATAAATAGATCCCTCTGAAACCTACAAATCTTACGCAGTTGAGGAACTGTTTAATCAGTGCAGAAAGTTACACATTGACATAGGGGGACATAAGTGGGAGATTACCTCAACAGAAATGAAATTTAGAACTAAAATTATTTGTTCATGATTATATATATATGTAGCCATATTTATTTAAAAGTGTTACGTTTCCTTCAGTCCTTGTATCTAAAATAAAAATGTTTATTAAAACAGAAGAATAGCATTTGCGATAAATCGAAAGAATTTTGACAAAGGAAACTGGGGAATTTCTTTTGTCAAATAGTGAGAGAAATGATGAAAACTAAAAGAAAAACACTGTAATTGGGAAAACATTTTATAGATACAAATTTTAATTTTAATCAAAACAGCTAAAAATTTAACCAAGGTATCAGAGAGAACCGTTTTTTTGCTCCGCATTTTTTTAGGTATTCGACAATCTTTTCGTGGCCGTTCTTAGAAGCTGCGTAAAGCGGAGTCCGACCCTCATTATCAGCGTGATTTATTTCGGCTCCGCATTTGACCAGGCATTCGACAATGTTTTTGTGACCTTGAGAGGAAGCTGCGTAAAGCGGTGTCTGACCATCTTCATCAGCGCGATTTATTTCGGCTCCGCATTTCACCAGGCAATCGACAATTTTTTCGTGACCCTGAGAGGAAGCTGCGTAAAGCAATGTGCTGTCATAATAATTAGCGGGATTAATTTTTGCTCCGCCTTTGACCAGGCATTCGACAATTTTTTCGTGACCTTGAGAGGAAGCTGCGTAAAGCGGTGTGTGGCCATCTTTAGTAGCGCCATTCATTTCGGCTCCGCATTTCACCAGGTATTCGACAATTTTTTCGTGACCTAGAGAGGTAGCTGCGTAAAGCGGTGTCCGACCATATTTATCGGGGCGATTAATTTCGGCTCCGCATTTCACCAGGCATTCGACAATTTTTTCGTGACCTCGAGAGGAAGCTGCGTAAAGCGGTGTCCAACCTCGATAATCACCGCTATTGATTTCGGCTCCGCATTTCACCAGGCATTCGACAATTTTTTCGTGACCTTTAGAGGAAGCTGCGTGAAGCAGTGTCCAACCATATTTATGAGGGCTATTGATTTCGGCTCCGCATTTCACCAGGCATTCGACAATTTTTTCGTGACCTTTAGAGGAAGCTGCGTGAAGCAGTGTCCAACCATATTTATGAGGGCTATTGATTTCGGCTCCGCATTTCACCAGGTATTCGACAATTTTTTCGTGACCTTGAGAGGAAGCTGCGTAAAGCGGTGTCTGACCATCTTCATCAGCGCGATTTATTTCGGCTCCGCATTTCACCAGGCATTCGACAATTTTTTCGTGACCTTGAGAGGAAGCTGCGTAAAGCGGTGTCACACCACGTTTAGTAGCGCGATTGATTTCGGCTCCGCATTTCACCAGGCATTCGACAATTTTTTCGTGACCTTGAGAGGAAGCTGCGTAAAGCGGTGTCTGACCATCTTCATCAGCGCGATTTATTTCGGCTCCGCATTTCACCAGGCAATCGACAATTTTTTCGTGACCCTGAGAGGAAGCTGCGTAAAGCAATGTGCTGTCATCATAATTAGCGGGATTAATTTTTGCTCCGCCTTTGACCAGGCACTCGACAATTTTTTCGTGACCTTGAGAGGAAGCTGCGTAAAGCGGTGTGTGGCCATCTTTAGTAGCGCGATTCATTTCGGCTCCGCATTTCACCAGGTATTCGACAATTTTTTCGTGACCTTGAGAGGAAGCTGCGTAAAGCGGTGTGTGGCCATCTTTAGTAGCGCGATTGATTTCGGCTCCGCATTTCACCAGGTATTCGACAATTTTTTCGTGACCTTGAGAGGAAGCTGCGTAAAGCGGTGTCCAACCTCGATAATCACCGCTATTGATTTCGGCTCCGCATTTCACCAGGCATTCGACAATTTTTTCGTGACCTCGAGAGGAAGCTGCGTAGAGCGGTGTCCAACCATATTCATTGGCGGGATTGATTTCGGCTCCGCATTTCACCAGGCATTCGACAATGTTTTCGTGACCTTGAGAGGAAGCTACGTGAAGCAGTGTCCAACCATATTTATGAGGGCTATTGATTTCGGCTCCGCATTTCACCAGGCATTCGACAATTTTTTCGTGACCTTGAGAGGAAGCTGCGTAAAGCGGTGTCCGACCATATTTATCGGGGCGATTAATTTCGGCTCCGCATTTCACCAGGTATTCGACAATTTTTTCGTGACCTTGAGAGGAAGCTGCGTAAAGCGGTGTCTCACCATTTCTATTAGCGCGATGGACTGCGGCTCCGCATTTCACCAGGCATTCGACAATTTTTTCGTGACCGTGAGAGGAAGCTGCGTAAAGCGGTGTCTCGCCATTTTCAGTAGCGTGATTAATTTCGGCTCCGCATTTGACAAAGTAGTCTACAACTGTTACTTGTCCCTTTTGAGAAGCTATTATAAGAGGCGTATTACCATTGAATTCAGTAATAAAATTGACTTTTTTATTAAAAATACTTGAAAATGAAAATAATTGTTTGTTCACAACCATTTTAAACGCTTCTACGTATCCGTGCAAAGCGGCAAAAAATAACATATTAATTTGGTCAGTTGTTCGACTATACGAATCTTTCAGTTGTAATTTGCGTGATTCTAATAATTCCAGTTCCGCTCCCAAACTTTCACTTTCTCGTGCCCATGCTAAGGGTGTGATTTTATATAAAAAATCTTGTTCTAATATTTCACATTTGTCTAACAAAAACAATAAGGCTTTAGAATATTCCTTCGTTTCTAATGACGCATTCATAACTTCCTTGTTTGCTTCGATAACATAACCCATCAATTTTGTTTGTACTTTTAAACGCCCATGTCTTCGTCCCCAAGAACAAATGAGATGTAAGGCACTTCTTCCACAATCATCTTTACGTTTTATTAATTTGTCGTCAAATTTCTCCACCTCATCAAAATTTTTGTATAAAATCGCAATGTGGACCGGTGAATTTTTGCCAGTTAACATGTCGAAGAAGAAACGTACATTATTATATTTTTTATCAAGAAAAATGTCCTTCCGAATCATTCCAAAATTTTTAGAAAAATATAAGGCAACAAAATATTCGGCAAAGGAAGCATGTGCAAATTTCGGAATGCCGTTTTGTAGACCAGTCACGATACCAACAGTTGCGAAATCTTCAGAAACAGAATCTATATCTTGCGAAGAATCTATCTTTAATTGTTTCAAAATATTTTCAGGAAATATTACTTTGACCGCTAACTTTTCATACTGTTTTAATTTCGCTTCCTTTTTCTTCCGAACTTCTTCTTCCCAATAAACACTGTTCACAGGAACTTTGCTTTCGTAGAAAAAATTTAATTTTCCTTCTATGAAATAATGATACATATCAGTCAGGAGAAATTTATTTTTTAATAACTCTAAATATTGTTCCTTATTTTGCAGAAATACCTGTGTAAGCATATATATTTGTAGTGGGATTCCTAATATATCTAAATGTTTTGTAAATGCAAACGTGGATTTAATTTTGTCTATGGTTGATTTCAAATCTGCAGGCGCAATAAAATTGTTAAGACGTTTCTTAATATAATTTTCTTGCTCAACTTCGCTGAACTGATTGATACTCATTGACAGAGTATTAAATTTTTCTTCAAGAGGAGATTTTAAATGTTGCCTTGCTGTAACCCACTGAGTAAAACCTTTTTGTGATAACATAAGAATGAGATCTGAAGTATCATTTAAATAGTGAGTAAATATTTCATCAAGAGCGTCCCATACATAAACCACATTGCGTTGTTTTAAACACATCGTAAAAAATTCTAGATCCAGCCCAGTGAGGTGTCGATATTTTTCATTTAAAACCAATGTTTCGAATAGTTTTAAATCTGGTGATATTTCAGACTTTCCTGAATTTTTAAAGAAAGTCATAACATCTTGAGCGCTCAGAATCACGGTCCAATATCTCGCACAACAGTTGTTTTTTAAACTCTTCGTTAATTCGGTTTTGCCCATTCCTGGGTCACCTGTTATTAGGTTTATGTTGTTTCTGAATTCGAAAGACCAAATTTCGTTTTCGTTTTTGGAAGTACTAGGTAATTTATAATTTCGCAGTTCATTAACATCGCCTTTGCTTCGAATCCATTCTAAGTTTTGTTCGTTAGCAAATTTAAAATAGTGTACAATTATGGATGCTGGTGTTTTAGAACATATTTTCTGGAAATCAGAATCACTACAATTTTTTTCACACCTTATGAAAATTGGATTACCAAAAATTTTGGAGTCTGTATTACGTAAAAAGCCGTGAATATTTGTTAAAGTATGCTTTTTAGATATTTTCAATTGCTGAGAATTCCCTTCGCAATTTAAAATGATAACGGTGTTTCGACTAACATGTTCTAAATATTTAATGTCTATAATATTGACTGACAAATATCTATCGATATAAAGATTGGGAAAAACTTCCTTTTGTCCATCTATCTGACAAGGACCATTTGCCATCTCTAAAAGTTTTTCCACAGTAACATGCTTTAAAATTTCTTCATTTTTTTCGAAAGCGGTCACTAACTTAATTGCTTCTTTTCCTTGTAGAGAAATGGTGAAATTTTGTAGTATTTTGTCACGCAATTCACCGTTTGGTTTCAAGTTGGATAAGTTTTGAAAGACAGAGCGTTCTTTCATCCATTCTTCATATTTTCCTTCACCAAGTATAATAAATTTTGCGTCTGGACAGAGGTTAATTGCTTTCTCCATATTCGCGTGTTTCTTTACAATCAGCGGACATTTCTCCATCAGCCATAGCAATTGTGTCAACAAATTTGCATCCAAATTTTCGACACTACTTATATAATCAAAAGAAAGAGAATAAAGTAATCGAACTTTGTTCAATTCCTTCGGGTCGACCTTTTTGTCCAAGTCGCTCCACAGATTTTGAATCGCGTTGCTGCCTTCTTTTTTCAACAATGTAATGTCGAACAGACAAATAGCCTCTCGAAGTATTTTTATTTCGTCTGTCACTGAACCAAAAACAAATGGTTCGATCTGAGAAGAGAGCAAACGAACCGCTATTGCACGTTGAATCATTCTTTTGCTTAGTTTTTCTTTTTTCCCGTCTTTCAAACTCCATTCCGAGATGACCTCGACGCATTTCTTAAAAATTTCTTCGTTAGAGCAAAACATCTTATTAAATCTATGCATTGTTGATTTTGTAAGTTCTTCAAAACGTTCTTGGTTTGTGTAAAGACGAAAGCTTTCGAAGAATGTTCGGTACTGCTGAATTTTTTCAGGATTTTGTTTAGTCCACTCGTTCTCTATGATTTGAAATGTATGATAATAATTTATGTTTTCAGAAACTCTTAAAATGTCGAAATCGTCTTCTGAAACTGTCTTTTTAATCGGCTTCAGGTCAAACTCTTCTCCTTCTAGTCTAAATTTTGTGTCTTCTGAAGTTTCAAATGTATTTGTGGTGAATAATATAAATTCTTGCACTTCGCCTTTTACCTCTTGAGCAGATTTGAAATATTTTATTAAACTGAAGTTTCCCGTTTTACTTGCCAACTGCTTTATATATAATTGTCTTTTTTCATTACTGTGTTTTAATTGCAGTGCTTTTGTTTTTATTCCCTGGTCTGTCTTAATTTCAATAACCACGTCGTCAAAATCACCAAAATTTTTATCGTTCGAAGAAATGTGGAAATCTCTTATTTTACTGTCGCTTACCATTTGCAGTGCGACGTTAGCGGTAACCAGATCTTCGTATTTTTTACCCTTGTCGGTAGTTCCCGCCCGTTTCTCAAAAATCTGTAACAGAAATCAACAATGTGAATAAATCGAGAATACTTCATTGTAAATCATTCAAAAATTAGACGTTGAAATACTTCTTAGTTTTTTATGTTTTTTAAAATTTTACAGATATTTTTCTTGTACTAAATAACGGTCAAAAAGTATATTTCATCATAAATTAATAGATTTACCTTTTCCGACAAAGTTTTATTTCTTCCACCATCTTTTCTGTTTCCAGACTGGGTCCCTAGAAGTGTATTTTCTTCGGTGCTTTCCTTAATTTGATGAATATCTTCAAATAGAACACCTTGCTGGTTTCGAGTGTCTTCTATTCCCGTTAGATCTGTCCGCTACAATTGATTTAATTAAGCAAATTATTATCGTTAAAATTATTCCAAGTAACTAACAGTTAATTGGCTAAAGTTTCAAAACTTCCATCATTTTTGTTAGAGCTTAAATAATGGACCATGAATAAGAAACATGAAATTTTCGAGAACACATGGTGCACAACAATATGGCAAAAACTTTACATTTTTCTCAAAACGTTCTCTACGTTCACTTGTAAAATTGTATAGTTTTAATTAACTTTTATACTAAATATACAATCTAAAATTTTACTATGTTGTCTATTTTGAATATTGAAGTTCTGGTATTTGTCTTTGTAAAAATGTAACAAGTAAATTTAGGGTAAAATTCAATAATCAAAATGAATTTGAAGATAGTTTTGACTTATCCAAATTTATAATACCTTTGACGAAGAAGAAGTATTCCCTTCGGGTTGCGAGGTGTGTAGCGAATTTTCTTGTTTTCTTCGTGTATTTTCTATTGTCTTACGTTTTAATTCCTCTTCTAGTCTTCTGACTTCTTTGTTGGAACTTGAGTCCATGGTGGCAAATTTGAACGTATATACTGAGAAAAATATCGGTCAGTCAAGTAAACTAGTGACGGTCAGAAAAAATGGATACTAGTATGTGTCAGTTTTCGACAATAAAACTAAAAGTTTTACCTTTGTATTCCAATATAAAAAAAAATGGGAATCGTGATCATAGATTTTATGTCTTTATTGAAAATGGGCTCGACCTAAAAGGTATGACTTTTTTAATATTTTTGAAAATGGAAAAAAAATATTTTAGAATATCCCCAAAATTTGTAAAATTAAATCTAACTTATAAATTTATGCGTTCATATTTTTAACAATATGCATGCGGATTATTGTAAAAAAAGTGAATCTATTAGAAGCAAATTTGGGCTTTAGTGGCCCTTATAATATTTATATTTTTAAGAACTGTTTATACAAAATGTTTAAAAAACACAATAAATCAGCTTATAGCGCCAAATTTTTTGGGACTTATTAATAGTAATTTTATTCTTATTGCACTCTAATTCTTATCTCGCACATCAACATTAACACATTTTGGCATTGTCGTGCTGACATCATCTCAAAATGTACTTTATAATAGAGCAACAAAGCATGGTGTTCAAGCAACGATTGACGATTAGTAATACACAATTTGAAAAGCTTGAGAAGAGAGAATGGAGATCTTGGCACGGAGAAGAATAATGTAGATCTTCATCAACTAATGGAGAAAAGGCTTTATCTACAGAACAATAATAAAAATTGGAAAAAAAACTGAATCCAGAAAACGATTGTTACAATTAATAATTGAATTAAATTGGGAGAACCATCGGTCACTATTAACTGCTTGGATAATTAGAGAGTGTATTAAATCCAACTATTTCTAAAAAGTGGTTATTATGCGAAAAAATCAAGTCACCATTTTCGCAAAACTATAAAATTTGCTGTTAGGAATTTAATTTTTTATGAAAAACCACAATAAGTTGAAATAAGCATATGTATGTAATTTTGAAGTAAATGCAAAGAAGCGTGTTAAGCTTATGTTTAAAATGAGCTTTCACTTTGCAAAATTTTGTGATGACGTCATTAATTTTTTTGGGGTAATAAACATACAATCTACCATGTTTACAATAAATTTAAATCTTCTGCAAAGATGCAACATTATTTTCTTTTGTCACTCTGTGTAAGCAAATCTAAAAATTATGAATAGAATGATAAATCATTAGTATAAACTCATTATATTTTGCACATTTTAGATAGGATTTATTTGGCAAAATTTTGAGATGACGTCATATTTTTTTTGGGGTAAATAAACAGATGTATTTTGATCAAAAATTTACCATGCTTATGATAACTATAAAACAACTACAAGATTTCAAAGCATTCGGTTTGACGGACTTAAAATTAAAATGCAAAATATTGTTATATAATTTAGATTTTTACTTCCCGAGCGTAAGCAAAGGAAGTATTGTAAGCGAGGCTGTGGCCGACTCTCTACTTTTGCATTTTCTCGACCTATCATGACCCCTAGAGCATGAAGAAATAGGTCGCCCGTTTCCGTCTGTCTGTCCGTCTATCAGTCGGTCCGTCTTTCCGCCTGTCCGTCTGTCTGCCGTCCCGGATTTTTATTAGACATCTATAGACAGATAATCTCCGAAAGTACTAGGCCGATTGTTGTCAAATGTTGTATTTATATTACGTATATCAGGTAGATGGTAAAACGCTAACCAAAATTTGTCTAATCATCCCCACCACTAATGTGACGACGTCAATTCAAAATTGTACATAGTAATTGGGTTATAAATTGTATCAAATAAAGTAGTTTTACACATGATTGTAGTTTATGACTCCGAATTGAGATTTTACCCGAAACGTCCAGATGTTTGGAAAAAAATCAAAATTTGGAAACAACATTTTGACATTTAATTTGGAATCTACAAAACCGAATGCTTTGAAATCTTGCAGATGGTTTTAATCAAAATATATTTACTTATCCCCTCCAAAAAAATGATGACGTCATATAAAAATTTTGCCGAATAAATCCTACATAAAATGTACAAAGTATGATGAGTCTCTACTTGTGATTTATCATTCCATCCATATTTTTTAGATTTGCATATACAGGGTGACTCAAAAATATTAATGAATGCGTGAATTTATTTTATTGATTAATCAGGAAATACAAAACCGAATGATTTGAAATCTTGGAGATGTTTTAAATTTATCATAAGCATGGTAAATTTTTGATCAAGATGTATTTTCTCATCCCCCCTAAAAAATTAATGACGCGACCCCAAAATTTTGCTGAAAAAATGCTTAACTGTGTAAAGAATGATGAATGTACATTTGTGATTTATCACTGCATTAATATTTTTTATTGATTAAATCAAGAATTGCAAAACTGTATACTTTGAAATCTTGCAGAAGTTTTAAAGTTATTGTAAGCATGGTAAACTGTTAATTCAAGTAAATCTGTTTATTTCCGCCAAAAAATTGATGACGTTATCTCAAAATTTTGCAAAATATGAGTTTTTACTTGTGATTCATGATAGCATTCATATGTTTTATTGATCAAATTAAGAACGAGTCATCCCATTTTCTCGAAAATGTGAAAATATAGTCTTTGCCATTTCTATTGAAACACCACTTGTTGATCGTAAATTTGGCAACGTTCATATTCACACAATTTTCTAACTAAAAGCCGTTGTCAATCAACCGAAAGCTGTTACCAATTGCCAAATTTTAAGCAAAATCAACAGGTGGTGGTTCAATAGAAATGGCAAAGACTTTACAAACGTCTTTATTTAATAAGGATTATAATAATGATATTCAGAACATTTTGTCGATAGTAGCTTACTAGTTAATAATTGTTTTGTTCCTCTGTCTTCATGGGTCGAACGCATTCAAATCAAACTAATTTCTACGTGACATTCTTCTGATGTATAAACATAAACACTTTCAAGTTGTTTTTCTTATCGAGGATAATCTAAGAACTAACAGTAATGGAGTCCATTGGTCAATTTGGTACTAGTTTCTCGTTATAATTAACCAAATGTGATTTATAGCATCCAAACACCTAATAAAATGTAGTGTTTTATTCAATAAGATCAGAGCATTAAAAAAGACCGGTTATTGCAATTCGTAGAAACCATGTTTTAGTTTAGTTTGTGTTTCACCGTCACGTCTACAGGTTGATATCAGTGTTATGGCTATTTGTCTTAAATTACAAGTAATATACAGGGTGTTCATTTTATCTGTTCACACCTGACATTTTTGCATAGGGAACATATTATACACTCCAGAGACAACTTCGTGCAATTTAATTTTTTTTTAATACGTAATTACCAATTACAGAAAAAAAATGACAAAGATGGCAATGCCAAATAATGATTAAATTAAAAAAAAAATTCAATTTGTTTTAAAATGTAAAAGTACTGTCTAAACTCTTTAGACCAATTTTTTTAAACATGGATGTCATCACATTATTAATGGGGAGGATTAGACAAAATTTGTTCTGCAATCTGCCAACTATATATTTACAATACACATATAAAATTTGACAACAATCGGTCCAGTAGTTTCCGAGATTATCGGTCTAACAAAATAGTCGCAGACGACGTAAGGACCGACCGCCAATATCAGTAGAAGGAAAAATGTTGGTTATTGATAATAGATCGATTTCGGTGCAACAGTAGTAAAACTTTTTAGCAGCAAAAATAATTCTAAAAACAATATAATTGATGTAAAAGAGTTCTCTACAAAAAATACCATTAGTGAGGCACGATTCATAGCCAAAATTATTGATAACTGAGACATTGTTGCAAAATTCAACACAACTAGAGTGCATTAAGTTACAAGAAGTGCCATCAGAACACAAATTTGGAGGTCTACCAGAGGTATAAATGCAAGTTATAGGTCTTAAGTTTTGTATATATTGATCGACGCAATTGGAAATAATGATGCATGATTATTACGTATGTACAATAAAAAATACGCGTATATTGTAAATTCTGACTATAATCATGTTCAACTTACCCGTCAGGAAGTTCACTTATTTTTGAAATTTATAATCACCAAAAACTTTTGTGAAATATGTTACAACTAAAGTATTTGTTTAATACTGTAAACTTTTAAATCATTCGTGTTACAATAATGAGCATTTTTTTTAACGGCGTGCCTTAAATACTATATTCTAAAGGTGGGGTTAGCATATCTGATAAGTTGGTCTTATCAAGAGCAAGACCATCAAGTTTTTTGTTCTTATCTTACAGACAGGTCTCAGTATGTACAATACAGGAAATTTAAATCAATATTATTTAAACATTTATCAGGAGTTCCACAGGGCTCAGTCCTCATCCCGTTGTTGTTTGTAGTATAGATCAACGATCTCTCAGAATTATTAAATGAACACCAATGCCATAATTTATTATATGCCGATGATCTAAAAATAAATTGTACCTTCAACAATATAGATGACTGCAAGAAACTACAATATTCTATAGACAAGGTTACAGAATGGATCTCAGAGAATTATCAGAGTCTAAATCGTGGTAAATGTCGTGTCGTTTCGTTTTCTAAAAAAACGAATACTCAGATATATGACTATAAATTTCGTAATGTTTTGCCAACATTAACAATAGTTTCATTATAATGATGATTGTGGATAAACAATAATCCTAAACTAATTTTGTTACCGATAACTATCGTGTACCAACTTCAGGTGTTTGTGGACGAAACACCATCGGATGACTGTGATATTTAATCTATTTGCATAATTAAATCAGAGTTTCTATTAGTTTTTTAATTAAACGTCATAATAAATCAACAAACACATTACCCATTGGTTTGTACATAGTTTACATTTTAAATTCATTGGTTTTTGGGTGGACAGAAGTACTAAGTATTTTAAAACCTAGATTTAAGATAGCGAAAACAAGTGTTTATTGGCGCTTTGGTTGAAAATTTTGTCATCAAATCACGACATTTTATCTTATTTAAACCACTGATTAAATTACTTCTTTCCATTTGCGTCGTAGCGGCTAAGATATAATCTATTTTCTAGAAATTGGTTTCGCACTTCATTTAGATTGAGTACAATACAAAAATATAAAGCAAAATTGGCAGATAAATAACAAGTATTTATTATTTGATAAAACTTTTTGTTCCACTTACAATTTATTAATGTTGACCAACTTGGTGATTATATTACTTTACCTTCCACTGTTTTCACTTCCCGAGCTAAGGAAGTAATCGAGTCCAACGGTCGACTCCCTACTCTTATGTTTTCCCGACTTTTCATGATTCCTAAAGTACGAAGAAATGGGTCTCCCATTACCGTATATCGGTCTGTCTGTCTGTCTGTCGTTTGTCCGGATTTTCGTTAAACAGATAATTTTCGAAACTACTGGACAGATTGTTGTAAAATTTTATATGTGTATTATCAATATCATATTATAAATAATAAAATGCTAACCAAATTTTGTGTAGTCGTCTCCATCAATAAATAACAAAACTATACGTAATAAATTTTGCAAACGTTTTAAAGCTCATAAGCACAGTAAATGTTTAGCCAAGATATCCAAAAAAAAAATTGCTAAGCTAATCTCAAAATTTTTACGCAAGTTGTAATAAAGTAAAATAAAATAAAGCAAACAAGAGAGCAAGTAATATTTGTTTTATCTTTTTTATTGTTACTCATAACTTCAGGTGTTTGGGGACGAAACATGAAGTGTTTATTAACACCTTGGTTGAAAATTTTGCAATCAAATCACATTTTGTCTTATTTAAATAGCAATTCAAAATTACTTACTTGTTTCCATTAGAAAACCGGAAACTTGTAACCGTGTTGTGGAAAATTTATTGGTGCTTTATTTAAACAGAAACATTACGTGGTATAATAATAATTGTTATCGCTTCCTTTGTTAAATAAAAATCTCAATTCTCTTTTTACGTTTGATAGAAGAAAAAATATGTTACTACCTTCAACACTGGTCCGCCGTAAATTTTGATAAAGTATGTCAAAAGAGGGTACCTACTTTAAAGGATACGTGCACATCGACGAAATAAATTACAAACTGAAATAGTCATTCACTAAATAATAAATTCCACAAGCCGAATTTCGTAGTTGAATTAAAATTTTATTCTTATCTTTTTTATAAATGTAAAAATTTTTAAAATGGCAGCGCGCTATACCGCTACTTCTTAGATTAATTTTTTCGTTAATCCATCCATCGGTATTAGAACAAACGCAGTCAAAATGACGGAACTTAGATAAGACAATACAACATTAACGATCGTCTCGCACACCTAAAAACAACAAAATTAAAGTAGTGTCAAGAATTTCCGCATTTCATTCACCAGTGAATACTCTGACACGAAATGAGGTCTTCGTAAACCCGTGTCAATCTGTACAAACGTAAAATGAATCAAATAAGCACCAAATGACAGTCGTCCCATGGTATGCATAGAAACCCACTCGAAAGCCTTCCTTACAACACCTGAAAAAAATCTTTACCGCTACACCAAACATGAAAGATAACATAACCTCCAAGCTCTTGACCCATGCCAAAAATTAGCAACCCGACTCCAAAAACGAACAAACCCTTATCCACACTGCCGTAGGCTGCTGCAAACCATCGACTGTTGGAATAATAGTCAGTGGTCATATAGAACGAAGAGAAAAGAGGAATGCCGATGACGAGAAGTGTGGTCAAAATCCACCACAGAATCGTGTGCTTCTAAAATGTTAGTATTAATAACTAGAGAGCGGATTTTATGAAATTTGCATATCCGTTATCTTTTGCATATAAGTCTTGATATTTAATATGTGCACGAATCAAGCCAATTAGAAATGAATACAGCTATAAAAAAATTGCATATTTGCATATATTTGCCTTCTGCTGCATATTTCACGTAACGGGTGCATATTTTGCATTTTTATCAATTTTTGCGCCATTAAAAAAAAAATTGTCATTCTGTCGGCATTTGCCTAGAAAGACGAAATTTCATTAATGAAGTTGTAAATATACTGTCCTCAGTTTAAAATAAGCCGGAAATGGGTTTGGGTTTTATGATAGTTTGGAGAAACCATTGGGTGTTAAGCCGTCCTTCTAGGTAAATTCGGCCCCTATTTACTCATTTCCAATATTTCGTCACCTTAGAACTGGTTTGCCGCATATCCAGATCGCGTCAGAGGGATTTTCGCCTCTACTGTTTGGTGCAGATTTGCCGCATGTCGCACTTGGGCGAAGCGAAACATAGTTTAGATTCAGTGCTGATTTGCCGCATGTCCAAGCAGAAATCGATACAGTACCGTTATCCGTTTTTACGTACTTCCTTGCTGTTTTGCTTTTCAGCGTTAGGTTTGGGGTTGGGAAAGAAATCGTATTCAACTTCACTCGCAGAACAATAAGAATAATGTGAAATAAATAAAAAAGAGACTTAACAATTTTGATGAATCTGAAATTAAAAAAAAGCAACTGTAATTTGTGCAACTCTTTTTCTGTTGCTATAGATGTTACAAATATTTTCAAATTATTAGATTCGAAATTTTACAAATTTAAATTTCAAATAGATTTGTTGTTCGATAAACAAATAATTTAATTTTTTACTAAACAGTAACATTTTTCTTTAATTTTTTCTCGGGAATGATTGAACTTATTTTCTCTAAAGTTTTAGTGAACAAGATTTATAACGCTGCATACCAGTAAAAGAGTTCACAATTTTTTGTAGTATTCTTATTTGTAGAAACGATATTTCTACATCAATAATCACAAATAATAGATACATTTTTAATTTTTTAAATTAAAATGTTGTAAAAGTAATATGAAAATTAAAATTTTGAAGCAAAATCTGTTTAGGTGGATTTTGCTTCGAAATTTATTACTGGAACGTTTACAAAAATCAGCTTTTGACATAAAATGCTTGCAAATTTGAAACAGAATTGGAATGTTTCTTGACAATCACGCCTAATACATTTTTGACTTGTATCTTTTAAAAAGAATTATTTCCGAATTTATAGCTATTTACAATTTACGACTTACTTCAAGAACAAATTTCGTATTAGAATTTTACCTATAATAACTAAATAGATGTATGTTGTTAACTTATATAAGGTACCTTACATGGAAACGAGTAATTTGTTTTTTAATATGACATTGCCTTTCTTTATCATTCTATTTGTCTAACAATTATTGTTGTGCAATTATACGCGTGTAAATAAAAATAACTTTACAATAACTTATTTATGGGTAAATTTTTTTACCAATTAATTTAAGTGAATGGTTATATGTAATGGTAATAATAGCTGCATAAAATTCACTCACTGTTTAGGTATACCAGATATCAAAAGCTATTAAATCCAAATGTTATTGTTTATTTTTTTTATGTCTCGAGCGCAAGCTAAGGAAGTATTGTAATCAGGTTCATCGGGCGACTGGCTACTTTTATGGCTTCTCAACGTTTCATGACTCCTATAATACGAAAACATAGGTCTCTCGTTTCCGGTTGATAAAACGCTGACCAACATTTGTAATCATCCTCCCCATCATATAACGTCATCTCCAACTTTTACAGCAATAAATGTTATATAAATTTTAAAAAATAACATACTTTTTCATTTGTTGTTTATTGAGATTTTACACTAAGCATCCAGATTGAATTGAATTACCATAACCCTAATTTCTTGAGATTTTGGAAACAGGATATACTACATACATAAAGAAAGTTAAAAGAATTTGAAGTAATGTAATGATACTCTTTTTACATCAACATACTATTATTTATCAATTAATTGGGCATCGTCCAAAATACTGTTCATAAATTATAAGTGCAGGAAGTTTATGCAAAAACATGCAAATACATTTTTTGCGTATAATAATATGTATTGCTTTATTATTAAATATCTACTCATTTATAAGAATTATTAAAATTAGTAAAAAAAAGTATTCAAGTCTCTGTCTAGTTTAATACCTTACCTTATTAAAATAATAAGTTTAATCAATTATGTAGTTAGCAAACAATGACGTTTAATTTATACTTAGTAGGGTTCACGGCATTAACTTTTCACATTGCATGTTTAATTCGGAGTTATAATTTGAGAATATAATTTACCCGTTTATTTATTTTTGTAGTTTAGTAGTACTTCAGCAAATTTAGAAAACTGTATGTTATTTAAAAATACGTGACAAATCACGAGGCCAGGCAATCTAGAGATCTGACTGCTGGTTTGCGCGGGAAATACTGCATACTTTTTAGATAAAAGGAGTCTATGATAAGCGCACGTAGGAGATGATAGACAGAGAGCTAATATTTAGAGCTAATGTATTGGAAAGAAATAGGACAAGTTTACGTGCGCACACCACAGCCTCCCTTTCTTCTCTAAACAGTTTGGGATCATACCATAGTATCATAAATAATAATTGACAAAGAGTTCGCAAAGGAATCCAACGGAAATATTTATACAATTGTTTACAACTACCAGTACAAATAATTCTTTCATTTTCAACTGAAAAGCGTATAACTATATTAAGTACTAGATATTATGGAGTTACGGGTAATCAAATAGATTTGGGTTGCAGTCAACATAATTGTCACTGATACATAAGACATGGAAACGAATGATTTATTTCCAAATCCAAATATACTGCATTTACAGTTTTAAACAGTATCACTGCTAATTTTCTCTGGTTGCCCGACAATAGCTACTTGTAGTCAATATCCACGTAATGTAATAAAATACTGGAATCTAATTGTTTGAGACAACAACCTATTTTTACCCGAGTGTTCTTTATCAGTTTGAATATTTTATATAAAAAAATTACATATTAAGCTGCAATTTTAGTAGGACTGCAGCCGCCTTTACTCCGCCAATGCAAAGAAAATATCATTTTATTATCCTTTGTAAAAATAATTCCTTTCTGTAAAACACATTTAAATTTGGTACTCCGTATTTCGTTCACAATTCACCATTTAACAATGGAAATTAACAATGCATAATTTGGATTCTACAGTTTTTAGGAAAAATGAATGACTGCAATGAGTTTTATTAAATGTAGATTTTATATAAAAATAAAGAAAAATAAGTCTCTTTATTTTAAAAATATTTAGAAAAAATCGAATCAAAACATCAATAACTTAACATTCATTGTTCGTTATACTTAGTTAACTACTTCACCACGAGATTTCTAATATGGTTTCAATTTTTCATTTATTTCACATTATGAGTCCTTGCCGTATTACTTGTTCTGCGCGTGAAGTTGATTAAGAAATCTTAATCTTTATTATCTCTGAAAAATGTATCTATTATTATCTGTAATTATTGATGTGGAAATATCATTTCCACAAATACGAATACAGGTATGCAGCATTATGAATTTTGTTGACTAAAATTTTAGAGAAAATAAGTTCAATCATTTCTGAGAAATCATTAAATAAAAATGTTACTGTTAAGTAAAAAATTAAATTATTTGTTTAACGAGCAACAAATCTATTTGAAATTTAAATTTGTAAAATTTCGAATCTAATAATTTGAAACTCAATCTTTCTTAAAAAAAAAATCGAAAATATTTGTAACATCTATAACAACAGAAAAAGAGTTGCACAAATTACAGTTGTTTTTTTTTAATTTCAGATTCATCAAAATTGTTAAGTCTCTTTTTTATTTATTTCACATTATTCTTATTGTTCTGCGCGTGAAGTTGAATACGATTTCTTTCCCAAGCCCAAACCTAACGCTGAAAAGCAAAACAGCAATGAAGTACGTAAAAACGGATAACGGTACTGTATCGATTTCTGCTTGGACATGCGGCAAATCAGCACTGAATCTAAACTATGTTTCGCTTCGCCCAAGTGCGACATGCGGCAAATCTGCACCAAACAGTAGAGGCGAAAATCCCTCGGACGCGATCTGGATATGCGGCAAACCAGTTCTAAGGTGACGATTTCTGTTCCTCATTTAAGTGTATTAATAGTATGTTTGTGATGGTCGAAGCGACGTTATCCTGTTATTTTTCATCTTGAGTTAGCACTGAAAGAATTCAAAGCGGTACACGAGTGCCAATATGTCGAAGTTACCTCAAATTAGTTTGTGGATTAAACCTTTTCCCGAACTTATTCTTCAAGAAGGAACGGTATTTTGTCGCGCTTGCTCCAAACCGGTAAGTACATTTTTTTAAATTAAATATCATAATATTTTTCACACGGAATCACTAGCTGTCAGAATGTGAACGCCTAATTTTTTAAATAAAATACATTTGGATTTTTTATTTTCAATTTGTTGTAATAGATAGTATGTTTTACAAGAATTGCACAAATAACGTTTATTTTGTTGATAGGTGTCTTCAAGTCGTAAATTCCTGATTCAGCAGCATATTAATACACCATTACACGTCGGAAAAGTTTCCAAGATGAGTGGGACCAAGGTTCAACAATCCCTACGCCAGAGTTTGGCAAGTACCAGTGAAAAAAATCCGCAAAATTCGTTTAATACAGACTTATGTGCTGCATTTATTGGCGCTAATATTCCCTTAAAGAAATTAAACAACAATAGTTTACGCTCATTTTTGCAAAAATATTGCGCTCCACATAATATACCAGACGAAAGCACAATACGTAAGAATAATATTAATTCTGTTTTTAATGACACAATGTGTTGTATCCGACAAAAAATAGGAAGTAATTCTATCTATTTTGTTGTGGATGAAACAACAGACAGTTGTGGTCGATATATTGCCCACTTATTAATAGGTATTCTTAATGAAGAAGTTGTAGGTAACAGTTATCTGATTTGTACAAAACAAATTGAAAAAACGAATAACTTAACCATAACAAGATTCATACAAGAAGGACTCACCAATTTTTATTTACCTGAAGCAGTTCCTTCGGAAAAAATATTACTGATGTTGTCTGATGCTGCACCGTACATGATTAAAGCAGGGAAAAATTTAAAAATATTTTATAATAATTTAATACATGTAACATGTCTAGCACACGGAATTAATAGAGTAGCTGAAGAGATTCGCAACCAGTTTCCCAAAGTAAACAATTTTATTACTAATGTGAAAAAAATATTTTTAAAGGCACCCTTAAGAATTCAATTGTTTAAAGAAAAACTCCCAAATATTCAATTACCTCCTCAGCCTGTGGTCACACGTTGGGGTACATGGATTGAGGCAGCGATTTATTATGCAAATAATTATTCTCAAATCAAATCAGTGATTTTAGAATTTTCGGACACAAGTCAATGCATAATTGAAAGCCAAGCGTTGTTAAAATCTAATGATTTATCTATCAATTTAGCTTTTATAAAAGCTAATTATTCATTTGTGCCACAAATTATAACGGGCTTAGAAAAACAGGGCATGTCTTTAACGGAATCCATTGGACTGATTGAGCAATTTGACATTTCATGTGAAAAGGTGAAAGGGGGCATTGGGGTCTTAATCAATAAAAAATTCAAGGAAACTCTCGCCAAAAATGAAGGTTATAAAACATTGTGCATGGTAAAAAAAATTATAGAAGGCGAATCAGCCGAACTAGAAATGCTACCAGAAATTATATGCAAATTAAAAAATGCACCAATTACATCTGTGGACGTAGAACGCAGCTTTTCTATTTATAAATCCATGCTTTCGGACCGCCGGCAAAACTTTCTACTTGAAAATTTCGAAAAATATTTAATAATAAATTGTTACAAAAATAGTAATTAAATGGTCGATTTAATATTTCTTAATTTGTATTCTTTATACTTATTTTTTAGAACAGGAATAGTAGATCTTTAAAAATGTTATTTATATACCTATCTATTTTTTGTAATAAAACGTAAACTCGATAAACTTGTTTTTGTAATTTGTAAATAAATATTATTTTGTTATTAAGCCTTTTTTTTATTTTGGGGCATATGCAAATGCATATCTCTGCATATATTAAAAAAGTTACTGCATATTTGCATAAATTTGATGCATATTATATGATCATATTTCTCAAAATTTTGCTGCATATTTTCCGCTCTCTATTAATAACCAAATGGTACTAACGTATCGCGGTCTCACCCTTTTCGTAAAAAATCTTTCACTTTGATGCTTTACTTGTAGGTATCCAAAGAGAAGACCGAACACAAGTCCTGCCAGATTCGAGTAAGTGCTTGTCCACGTTGCTTGCCATTCTTTCGACGCCAAAAACTTGAAGCCGTACGATAACCTAAAACACGATTCTGGTGTTAGAAGTCTTCCTCTGACCAAACTTACTCTGGTGTGAAGATCACCGCAAGTTCAAAATTATTCCAAGCTAGATAGACAAACATGAAGATCACTTGAAAAGCAGCTACAAAACTTAGTGCTAGAAATAAGTGTTTTGGTTTCTTTTGGGTTAACCAGAGAATAAGGAGTCCTAGGACGGTGAACTGGAAGTCCACTGATAGGTACCATGTGTGGATCAGACACTGGAATTTGTCTTCAGAGAAAGGGTGACTAAAATTGCAGCGATTTACCACTCCATCGTCGATAACGAAGTTGTTGAAGAAGAGTAAGTTCGTCCACCATCTCGCTCTACACATTTTGTATTCCGTTCCCATTACTGGTTCCCAGAAGGGGCCACGGGAGAGGTGAACCAACCATGTGGCATGCAAACCTATTAGTACGATTTCTCCTGTGGCAAACCTGGAATTTTGTTATATTATGATAGAAGACCAAAATCAGTTGGCTTTACTAGTTTACCTGAGGTACCTTCTTAAAATCGAGCGCACAACATAATCCAACCCCACTTTGCGGTCATGTTCCATCTTCTTGAAGAAACTTACAGCTACCAACCACGACGACATCACAAAAAAAACTTGGACTATCATTCCCACTTGTGCCAAAATCATGTTAAACAAAGTGTTTGTGGTCTAAAATAAAGTGTCAAAAGAGTAACTTTATTTTATTTTTTAGCTTACTTGTTCGACTCGAAGTGGGTTTAAAACCGGGGTACCTCTTCCAGACCCAGCCACATGCACTAGTATGACCACGATAGAAGTAGCAAATCGCATAGTTTGCAAAAACATCATGTAGTTTTTGGTTTTGTGGCTAACTGTGATTAAAGACCTCACATTATCCACCACAGAAAATACAGAAAAAAAATTTTGAACTGAAACAAAGTATCAAAGTGTGCTTACATTTTGCTACGTACTGTACTCGACGATGTTTTGTTTTCGTGTTGGCCAGGGTCAACTTTAGTTCTAGCTTGATATTTAGCAAATTCCAACCAAATTGTCGTGGTAACCACAAACAACACGTAAATTCCTAACAAGGCACTAAAAAATAATGACAAAATACGTAAATGTCAAATGTTTTATTTTGAAATTTCGTACTAACAGGATGACCACATCGAGGGTCCCTATCTCGTGTTTGAAATTTTTTGTCTCACATTGTATAGCGCTAATTTCGCCTAGGAGCCCCAAATTTTGGTACTGGGTGGTGTAGCTTTGGCTTAAGCACTCTGAAAGGGTGCCGTTGAAGTTCGAACAGTGCGTTGAAGCACAAGTGCCATAACGTAATAAATCGTGACGGTAATTTCGGTCGCTTGAACATACTTCCTGTGAACAAAATTGGTCGAAGAAATGTTTTCTTTATTTTTTCAATTTTTCTTATTTTCGTTTTAAAGGCGTAATAATAATTATGATTTTTGAAATTTTCCTCTTTTTTAATTTTAGGATTTTAGAATTTTTCTAGTTTTTAATTATTAGATTTTAAATCTTTTTCGTTTATTCGATTTTTAAATTTTTTGATTTTTAATTTTTCAATTTTTCAATCTTTCAATATTAGTTTTTTGACTTTATAATTTTGACGATTCAACATGTGTTAAAAAAAATAGCGTCCCACCTATATGACTCCTTTTTCAAAACCATTTATGCTGTAGGGAAAAAATAATTTTAAAAATTCTTTAGTCTTTAGTGTAAAGGCCTTCAAAATTTTTTTTCATTACTTGGTGTTGGGTAACAGAAATCTATCTATCTAAATCGATATTTTGTTTTGACGCAAAGAATTTTTTAATGATTTTTTTCGAACTTAGAGTCGTGAATTTACACATATATCCTTGAGTTGGTGCGTCAGTTTTTGAATACCTGTATAATTTTTCTATTTTTAAGAGTCTTGATTTTTAGTTTTTGAATATTTCAATTTTTCGTTTCTTCAGTCCGTCGATTTGAAGTTATTTCCGTCTTTTCAGTTTTGTTGTTTTTAATTTTTTGCGATTTTCTAGTTTTTCGATTTTTAATTTTTCGATTTTTCAAAATTTCGAATAAAAAAAAATTAAAAAATTGCAGAATTGTAAAGAAAACTAAAAAAATCGAAAAATTGGAAATTTTCGACTTTTGAAGTTTTTGATTTTTCAATTTTTCGATTTTTTAAGCTTACGATTTTTCGACTTTTTCATAGTTGTTTGAATTCTCATTTTCCAGTTTTTTGATTTCTCAATTTTTTGGATTTTTCTTTTAGTTATGGGATTTCTCAATACTTTTTGATTTTTCTTTTATTTTACTTTTTGGATTTTCAATTTTTCGTTAAACTGTAGATTTTTCAGTTTTTGGACGGTTTTATACTTCAACCTCGCAATTTTTCAACTTTTTGATGTTTTAATTTTTCAATTTTTAACTTTTCTCCTCGATCCTCATATTTTTTTATTTCTCGATGTATCAATTTTTTAATTTTTCGATGTTTCTATGTTTGGATTTCTCGGTTTTTCGATTTTTACTTTTGGGCTTTTCAATTTTTCGATTTTCCAATTTCTCGAAATTCTGGAGTTTCGATTTCTTGATTTGTCGATTATTCAGTTTTTCGATTTTTAAATTTTAGTTTTTTGAATTTTTATTTTTTGGTTTTTTGATGTTTGGAGTTCTCGGTTTTTCAATTGTGCAATACCTATATTAATTTAAACTTTAAATTTTTTAATTTCTCGATTTTTTTATTTTTTAGTTCTTTAGTATTTCTATTTTTCAATTTTTCTCTCTGACGTTGCTAAGTTTTCCGATTTCTCAATTAATCTATTTTTGACTCTCCCATTTTTGGAATTCTCGAAGTGTCGATTTTTCAGTTTTTCAGTTCTTCTTTAATTTCTCAATTTTTGAATATTTCTTTCAGTTTTGGAATTTTCCACTATTTTGATTTTTCGATTTTTCTTTTTTTTTATTTTTTGGATTTTCAGTTTTTCGTTTTTTAAAGTTTAGATTTCTCAATTTTTCAATCTTTAAATATTTTAATCTTTCAATTCTTAAAATTGTTATCAGTTCTTCTATATTTTAATTTTTGCATTTTCCAATTTTTTAAATTTTTTAGATATCGATTTATCGAGATTCGAATGTTTTGATGTTTTGATTGTTCAGTCTTTCGATTTATCAATTTTTCCATTGTTAACTTTTCGATTTTTCGAGTTTGGCCTATTTCAGTTTCTCATTTGTCGATTTTTCAACTTTTCGACTTTTAAACTCCTCGATTTTTCGATCTTTTGATTTTTCGATCTTTTGATTTTTCGATTTCTCAATGTCTCAGTTTTTGAATTTTTCGATTTTTCGATTTTTCAGTTTTCCAATTTTTTAAATATTCGAGATTCGATTTCTCGATTTGTTGATGTTTCAGTTTTACGATATTTTTATTTTACAATGTTTTAAATTTTAGATTTTTCGATTTTTCGATATTTTAATTCTTCAATTTTTAAAATTTTTCAAGTTTTGACGTTTCTGAATTTTCAGTTTTCCGATTTTTCATTTAATCTATTTTTTGATTCTCCCATTTCTCGACTGCCCAAAGTTTCGATTTTTTAGTTCTTCAGTTCTTCAACTTTTCGATTTTTCGGGTTTCTGATTTTTAATTTTTCAATTTTTAAAGTTTGCGATTTTTCGACTTCGCTTTTTTGACTTTTTGATTTACCAATTTTTCAATTTTTTAATTTCCCAATGTTTGCATATTACGTTCAATTTTGTGATTTTTCAGTTTTTCGATTCTTCAATTTTTCTTCTGTTTTTCAATTTTTCGAAAGTTCTGGATTTTTCAATTTCTCGACATTTTACTTTTTGGATTTCTAATTTTTTGTTTTTTTAATTTGACGTTTTTTAGATTTTCGACTCTTTTATACTTTGATTTCTCAATTTTTCAACTTTTCGACTGTTTTATAGTTTGATTTCTCAATTTTGCAACTTTTCGATTTTTAAATTTTCAATTTTTAAAATTCTAGGTTTTCGATTTCTCGAGTTTTCAGTTCATCTGTATTTTTCATTTTTTCGAATTTTGAAATTTTTAAGATCTCGATTTATCATTTTTGCATTTTTAACTTTTCGATTTTTCGGTTTTGCAATTTTCTAATTTTTTAAATTTTCGAGTTTCCATTCCTCGAATTGTTGATTTTTCAGTTTTTCGATATTTAAATTTTAGATTTTCGAATTTTTATTTTTTTGATTTTTTCATATTTTCATTTCTCCATTCTTCAGTTTTAGGATATTTTTATTTTTCAGTGTTTTAAATTTTTGATTTTTTGACGTGTCTGAATTTTCAGTTTTCCGATTTCTCAATTAATCTATCTTTTGATTTTCCCATTTCTCGACTTCCCAGTGTTTCGATTTTTTAAACTTCGGTTCTTCAACTTTTCGATTTTTCGGGTTACTGATTTTTCAATTTTTCAATTTTTGAAGTTTACGATTTTTCGACTTTGCTGTTTTGACTTTTCGATTTCCCAATTTTTCAATTTTTTATTTTCCCAGTGTTTGCATGTTACGTTCAATTTTGTGATTTTTCAGTTTTTCGATTCTTCAATTTTTCTTGTTTTTCAATTTTTCGATATCTCGAGTTCTGGATTTTTCGATTTCTCAACTTTTTACCTTTTGGATTTCCAATTTTCTGTATTTTGAATGTTAGGTTTTTCAAATTTTCGACTGTTTTATACTTCGTTTTCTCAATTTTTCAACTTTTCGATATTTTAACTTTTCAGTTTTTAAAATTCTAGGTTTTCGATTTCTCGAGTTTTCAGTTCTTCTGTGTTTCAATTTTTCAACTTTCCGAATTTTGAAGTTTTTGAGATTCAAAGAAATTCGGATGTTTCGATGTTTTGATTGTTCAGTCTCTCGATTTATCAATTTTTGCATTTTTAATTTTTCGATTTTTCGATTTTGGCGTATTTCAGTTTCTCATTTTTTCGACTTTTCAACTGCTCGATTTCTCGATCTTTTGATTTTTCGATTTTTTAATTTCGGCTTTTCGATTTTTTTCAATTTTTAAAATTTTCGAGTTTCGATGTCTCGATTTATAATTTTTCAGTTTTTCGATTTTTAAATTTTAGATTTTCGAATTTTCATTTTTTCGATTTTTTGATGTTTCGAATTCTCCATTTTACAACTTTACGATATTTTAATTTTTCAGAGTTTTAATTTTTAAATTTTTAGATATTTTTTAGTTTTTCAAGTTTTGACGTTCTTGAATTTTCAGTTCTTCGTTTCTTTCAGGTTTTTGATTTTTCAATTTTTCGTTTTTTAAGCTTTAGGTTTTTCGAGTTTTCAGCACTTCTATATTTCAATTTTTCAATTTTCGAAATTTTAAATTTTCGATTTTTCAATTATCCGATTGTTCAATTTAATTAATTCTTAGTTAAACAAAAATTAGTTGGATCTAAATAATAGTAATCTTATTAATAATAATAATAATAACAATCCAATAACTAAGTATGTAATATTAAAGCCTATACATTTGACAACAGTTGGTCCAGTAGTTTCGGAGATTACGTATCTCATAAAAATCAATACAGACGCCAGATGGACAGACAGACTGAAACGGGAGACCAAAATACTTACTTGAATTATTTTCCAAATTTTGGTCGAATTTTCTGGTTTTTCTGGACGTAGCTGTAGTGTGAATGTACAATAAGTAGGGTCTGCTTCAATACTGTGGTACAAACATTTGTCGTAGTCCTCAAACTGGAAAATGTCCGGCATGAGGTCATAGTCTTTCCCTTAAAAAACATTTTTCATTTACTTTATTACCAATGTGCTACTACGAAATGGAATTTTTTGTAAATATATACTGGTTAACACAAAAACTCTACCTGTAATTTCGGAAAAACAGCTCCATTTTCGATTAACAAAAATTAACAAAAATAAAACATGTTTCGAATTCATCACAGTGTTTACAGATCTGGGACTTCAAGGTAACTATTATTTAAAAACAAGTAACGAAAGTATTATAAGGCTGATTTTTAATTGAAAGTATAATAATGTAGTGGTTTAGGAATCCGGCCAATTAAGTTTTTTTTTTTGATGGAATAATTAGTAGGTAGTCACCTTTGTTTTGGATGTCTTTAAAACCACAACAGTGCGTGATTTAAACATATCTATTCGAAGCAAAAAATGGTATTGCAGTTGAATTTTTGTTTAGATCGTTACTTAAACTGGAATAATATTTGTTTATTTTCGAATGCTACAGTTCTTGCGGCCACAGTTTATTAATTATTATTATTTACAATGTGTTTTTATGCAAAAAACCTGATTGAAGCTGACGTGTTTCTTCAATTTTTGAAGGTATGTCTGGTTCGATTAGTGTTGTAAAAAGAGATGTTAATTAACGTGGATTATATTTTGTTTTATGGAGTCATAGCCAGAGATTGTTTGTTGATTAGCAAAACTAAAATTGTTATTAATTTTTCTTTTGGCAAAAATTAGCACAGACACGTTGTTGTTCTCAAAACACCAAAAATATCAGCAGTTACGCTGTGTTCTAGAGCGCATTTTTTTTTTCTTTAATATATTGGATTATAAACCACATTGGCAGAAGCATATTATTTTCACAGTTTAAATAAAAATTTTTTCGGAAAGATTTCACAATGTGGTTTAGTCGTTTCAAAAATTGCCGGAAACGGAAGACCTAATTTTTCGTATTCTACAAGTTATAAAACGTCCAGCAGAGTATTATATATTTATCTTTAAATACAAAAAAGTCCCTAACTTTCGATTTCAATTTTTTCTAGTTCCAGGCAGAAACTACGATGTTTTTTTAAATATCTCAGATAAGTTCTAAATTTTCCTACATGATCATTGATCAATTATTTGTACAGGTGTGTGCACTTAAGGTTTATCAAATCTCTCAGCAGAAAAACAAAATACTTATTGATGGTAAAAATAAATTTTATCTCCATACTTCAAAAGATGCAAGTTCACAATCTGATAAATATCAAACTTTTTGAAATTTGACCGGTATACCCATTACACGATAAGTAATAATAATAACTAATAATAACTTTATTTTGTCATGTTTCAATGGAATAAAAATAAAGATAAGCAATTCTACAAGGTTTTGACACATATATATCTTTCTATATGTATTCTGTGTGTTTTATATTAACCAACTGAAAATACAAATACATGACAAGCTTAACGTAAATTAAACGGAAAGTCGTCTATAAACACGCGAAACAGTAAGAGTCCCAATATTGACCCTTGCGCAACTCTTTTTGCCAATGTGTCTTATGGGTAGCTAGTAAGTGCTGTTATTTTTCGTTATTTGAATTTTTTTTTCTCTTTCTCTTTAATCTGATCCCGATATAATAAATTAAATTATCGTTTGATAATTTTGCCATCTAGGGAGATACAAGTAAATCTAGGAGTTGAGTTTGTGAAGATCTGCATTCAGAACTTTATCGGTTTATATAGAAATCTGTAACAGACACCCAACCCACAAACAATTCATGGCATATTCATTAATAATAAAGAGAGAAAGAAAAAATAAACAACATTTATAATTACATTAATCTGGTCCCATTTATTTTTGGAAAACTGCTAACCTTAGAAGTTAAAATCTAAAGACAATTTAATGAAGCACAGGTATAGATTTCTATAAAAATATTAACAAACGAAATACAGATGGCGCCTCTTAGGCTATTTCTGGATTTTCTGGAGGATTCATGCAAATAATATTTCGAGCACTTAAGAATTTTTAAAATTTCTCAAACTTTGTCCACATTTCATTTTGTCACTTTTGTAAAACTGTGTGGCCAAAAATTATGAAAAAAAAACGTGTTTTCTCTAAACTAGTTTTTTTAACCAAAAAAAAAAGTCATAAGTATTTCGTAAATGGTAGGAGCTGCGGAAAAAATGATTTCTAAAGTAACTTCTGGAGGTCGAAATCTACAAGAAAAGGTCTTTAACTGAATTTCGAAAATGGTCAAAAATTGTAAAAATTTTTATAAGTCAATTTATGTGATATATATTTTCCAAAAATAAGTAGTTATAACTGTCACATTTCTATGGGTGATTTTCGAAAAATGCTAAGATTTATCGAAGAAATCATTCCAAAAGTAACTTCTGGAGGCCAAAATCTACAACAAAATGTGTGTGCTTAAATTTCGAAAATGGTCAAAAAGTGTTAAAAAAGGTTTTATAAGGAAGGCATCCGCAAAAAAATCTGGGATATAAAGTTCGATGTGCTGATTTTTAAAGCAAGATTTTAAAAATATTCGAATTGAAATTGGAGGTTAAAATCTACAAGAAGTCTTCAGTTACATTTAACTGAAGACTTCTTGTAAATTTTCACAATTATTGAAAATTTTATTACGTTTGGAAAAGTGGCCTAAAAATCCAGTGAGATATAAATTTCGACATGCTGCTCAGGGCAAGATTTTAGAAAAATTTGGACTGAAATTCATTTTTTTATTTAAAACCTGTCTTTCAATTCTCGAAAAATTGCAGGAACTATCGAAGAAATGATGCCGAAAGTAACTTTTGGAGGTCAGAAGACAAGAAAATGTCTTCAGTTGAATTTCAAAAATTGCGACAAAATGCCGAGATTTATATTTTTTAAAAATCTAAAGTACAAAAGTACTATCGAAAAAATTGTACCGAAAACAACCTTTACAGGTTAATATCTACAAGAAAATGTCTTTTGTTTCATTTCGAAAATTGTCAAAACATGCCGAAATTTTCAATTTCATTCATTTACCTAAAAATCCCCATAGAGATATAGATTTCCACGTGCTGATTTAAAAAATATAGCGTGTAAATGGCCTTGGATTAAAATTCTTTTTTCTTTAATCTAATAAACACTGTCATATTTCCTAGGGTGATTTTCGAAAAATGATGGGAGTTATCGAAGAAATGATTTCGAAAGTAATTCCTAGACGACACAATCTAGAAGAAGAATTTGAAAGAAGGTCAAAAAATGCTTCAATTTTCATAATTATTTTTCAAAAACCTGCTCAAAAATCCGAAAAAACTGGGATATAGGGTTCAACGTGCTGATTCCAAAAATATAACGTGCTTAGGATGCCAGGATGAGAATTTAGATATTATTATTATTATTATTATTTAAAGCGATCGGGCAGAGACCTAGGCCTGTTATGCCTGCGCTACAATTTCATTAGGTACGAACCCCAATGTTGAAAAACCCTATTGCTGATAAAGTACTGCAATTGAGACAGGGCGGGTGGGTGGGGCTTATATTTTTCCTTTTTTTCCTTAATATACGTAGTCATCTTTTCACAACATACATTGAAAACAGATGACTACGTAAATTTCGAAAAAAAGGGATAATATAAGCCCCGCCCACCCGCCCCATCTCAATCGTGATGATTTTTTGATCCGTCGTAAGTTGTGTTGCTATGTGAAACATGTTACATTTTGCCTTTTTTTTCTTAATGTGTGTAGACTTATTTTGATAACAAGAAACTTAAAACATTGTCAAAATGATACATTTTTGCTAGGAAATATGGAGTTTATAATTATGGGGCGGAGCCTATTTGCAAAATCGATATTTTCTTATTCATTTTATTATTCTTAAAGCATGTTAAAAATGTTAAATTTATTTTTAACATGCTTTAAATTTCTTGTTGCGAAATGAAGTCTACACATATTAAAACAAAAAGGCAAAATGTGAGCCAGGAGAGGTGGGGCTTAAATTTAGCCCTTTTTCTGTAGATACATTATCTTCTTTTCACCAAATATTTAAGAACTTATTGAAAATGGTAAATTTTTGTAGGGAAATTTTGATTATACACTTAAACTCCGCCCCTCGCTGTGACAACGAATGAAATGAATTTGGGGTTAGGGCGGGTGGGTGGTACTTATTTTTTGACTTCTTTTTTCTTGACATATGTAGTTTTCTTTCGACAACACGATATTTAAAACATATTTCACATGCTAATTTCTAGTAGAGAAAATAAGGTTTTTTATAGCCCCCACCCCACATAACGAATAAAAAAAGATCATCACAACTGAGATAGGGTGGGTGGGCGGGTGGAGCTTATGCTTTGACTTTCTCTTCGTAATGTACATACTTGACTGTTCTATGGTACGTACTCACTCTCCTTTCAACAATAGCTTAAAATGTCAAATGGTGAATTTGAGCTTAGAATTATCTGTTAGATATCGTGTTGTTGAAAGAAAACTATATATTAAAAAAAAAGCCGAGGATCCAGTTTTAATGGATTTAGGAAATTTTAATATTCGTTAAAAATAGTGTAGGCGTTAGGTTAATAAAAAGAAAGTCCATTATTTGAAAAAATATTGTTGAAACCCATTGGACCCATTTTATCCAGTTTGGACCAATTTTGGCAATTTTATTATTTTGTTTGAAATGGTGCAGGCACCAAATATTTAAAAAAAAATATCTTCGTTTTAATAATTTAATCATAATTCTGAAGAACTTTGTTACAAGCAATTTTATGGCCTGATTTCGTCCAATTTTGGTCAATTTCGGAAATTTTTACATTTCGTTAAAAATCTTGGAAGAGCCAAATCAATATTTGTTTCTCATTATTAGAGAAAATATCGTTAAAGCAAACATAGATTTATCATCCTCAGATATTTGATACAAGATAAGCACTTTCCTGGAATGACTGATTTGAATCAGTTTGGATCGGTTCCAATAATTTTAACATTTAACAACATATGTGATGTGATGTGACCACGAAAGATCAGAACTAATGGCAACACCCAAATCTCGACAACAGACCGCTTTGACACGTTGCGTGCCACTTTACTTTTACTTTTACTTAATTACTTACCTTTTTTACTTAACTACTTAATTCACAATAGGATCAAACTCCAAAAAATAATATGGTACAAACTCACCAAAAAGCAGTCGAATCTAGGGAACGACAAAACACACGTCTACACACTTGGCTTGCTCGGTGAGGTCAATTGAATTTAAATTCACTTTTTTTTAAATCCATGGAACTTTCGAAGATGATCCAAAATTGGCAAATTTTTTATGATGGGGTTATTGAAAAATTTTACTTTCGCAATAATTCACAAAAAATTCTGTGATACACATTTTGACGTGTTGATTCCAAAAATATAGCGTGTTTAGGGTCCTGGGGCAAGAGTTCATTTTTTTAAACCAAAAATGTGCCATATATCGAAAAACGGTTGAAGAGTTATCGAAAAAATAATTCTGGAAGTAAATTCTGGAAGTCAAAATCTACAAGAAAATGTCTAACTGAATTTTGAAATTGGTCAAAAATTCGAAATTTTCACAATACTGAAAAATGTTCCCCAAAAAATCTGAGTAAACAGATTTCAACGTTCTGATTCCAAAAGTATAGCGTGTTTAGGGTTCAGGGGTGTGATGTAAACGCTGTGAGATTTCAATGGATGATTTTTAATGTTCTCTTACAGTTCTTTTAAAAATAGCACAGACAAAATTTTGGTTTCGGAAGCATCTAAGAGAACATGAAATTTCTAACACCTTACTCACTTACCTGAAATTTCAGATGAAGCAGGTGTGGTTTCGGTTAAAAAGATTAAAATTAGTATTATGACATAGATATAAAACAACATCGTTGTAACGTTGTTCACAATTCATAAACCATCAACAAAACTAAGTATTACAAAAATAAAAAGTCGATAACGTTACAAAGTTGCTTGTGTATAATTAACTTATGTAAAATATCAGGTAATTTACTGTACATATACTAAAAAACTTCATATTAATGTCACTTACAGATTATAAATTACTCCTCAAAATACTTAATTGTAGCGTCATTACTAACAGATTAATATTTGTTTACTCAAGTGTGATTGTTTTTATCAGTTTTGAATTTGAAAATTTCGCAAAAGCGAATAATCGACGCAGTTTTTGTACGACAACCTCCAACTACCAAACCGACGCTTACTGGCACCCAAAAACAATAAAACCCAAACAAACCTCTTGATTACTTTATTGATAATGCTTAACACCTCTACAACTTGGCACATTATTAACAAAATCACAACCACGATTACGTTATTATTCTTGAAAAATCCATGCATGGACAGATTGTCTAACAAATTTATTGCTGCAAATAAAACCATCCGCCCTAAATAACAACACACTTATTCCTATCTAGCGCATCTTGTATATTATCCAGCATCGGACTCTGATCCCTCGAATCCAGGCTGTCGATCATGCTGATCAGCTCCCTGAAAACGGCCACCACCTTCCAGTTGTACTTGGCACTGCACTCTATGTACCCACATTTCCAGTGCTTCTTCACCAGGTTGGCGATATCCCGCCGCTTCTCCTCGTGGCCGCTCGTGATGGCCACTTTACCGCCCCCGGCGCTGCCGCCTTCGTCCACAATCAAGTCCTGCTTGTTGCCCACCACCAGCAAGGGAACGTTCGACATGTTTCGGCTCTCGCAGATCTGCTCCCTCAAGGTGCGGATGTACTGGAAGGTCTCCAAGTTAGATAAGTCGAAGACGAGGATGTAAGCGGAGGCGCTACGCAAGCCGTAGTAGCGGTAGTTGGCCCACTCGTAGTAGGAGTTGACGGGGAAGTAGGGGATGACGGGGAGGTCGCTGATTTTGATCTCGTAGAGGCGGTCGTTGGTGATCACGGAGGGGTAGTAGGTGTGCTTGCGGTCGGTGGGGATGTACTCCTCGCAGAAGTCGTTCCACACGAATTGCTGGAAAGAGAAGACGCGTTAATTAGTGTTGTTGAAGAGAAACTGCAAAAATAATATTCCTGAGGAATCAATTTTACATCCTAATTTTTGCTATTTTAATTATTTAGGTGAATGGTATAGCTGATAGTGTAGTTGATTTTTGCTCTCGAGAATTACGATCAAGTAAAACAAGATAAGATAAAGAATAGAATTGGACTTGGAATAATTAAGAGAAATGGAGGACGAGGAAAATACTTAACAGGAAGAGGAACGCTAGACAAATGTGCAAAAAGTGTGGCAATATTCCAACGCAAGGCCCAAAATGTGCACAGTGCAATGCAGTTTTTCATCCAGGGTGCATTAAATATCTTAAAGATGTTGTGGAAATTGCTCCTGGTGAGGTTATGTGCTGTGGTTCCAAGGTGACTCCGACGACATTGCCAGAGAAGAAAATGACCAACAGCATCGCCCAAGAAGAAGTTGCTGCTTCAATTAATGACCCCGACAACGAATTGGATGATGAATTCTTTAGTTCTGCAATTGAGAATTCTGACACCGCAAAGGTAGAAAATAAGTATCTAAAAAAACTGCTGAAGGAGAAAGACTTGCACATAAAAAGTTTATGTGTCAACTTGAACATACTCCACAAGCAAATAACCTTGCTAAATAACATCATAATTAAGCAGGAGGAAGGAATCTCCAATAATCATAATCCAGAAACGACATCACAAGAAATTAATGAAATTGTCAAAAACAGTAAGCTGCTCCCGCTCAAAAACACCATCGATGAACAACAGAAAAAAACGCAAGACTCGCCATCTAATCAAGCCAAAACACCAAATCAAGGAGATAAAGATAAGAAAGTAAAGAAGACACTTCGTGGTTATAGCGAACTCCAGGGGCCAGTTCAGGACGATAACGAAAACCTGGACAATAATAAGACACTGCAGAATGAAGACGATAACTGGAATAAAGTCAAAAGCAAAAAAAGACATCGCAGAGAATCCAACAAACCGATAATTGGATGCTCGGTGGATAATAGTACCCTCAAAGCAGTCCCACGAAGAAGCTTCATCCACGTGTATCGACTAAATCCTTCAACGACTACAAAGGATATCGAAGATCACCTCTGCATGTCAAATATATGCACTTTCGGTGTTGAAAAGCTGCAGTCAAGATATCCGGACCTATATTCAAGCTTCAAAGTGACCATTGATCATAAAGACCAAGACGTAGCTATGAAACCTGAAACCTGGCCTCCTGGCAGCTGTGTCAATCGTTTTTTTCATCGGATACTAAAGAAGACCGCGTTGCCTTAGAGGTAGAAGGCTATTTGAACATTCTGTCAATCAACATCCAATCACTGAGGGCTAAACTAGCGGAATTTGAGGCAGCAGTAGCAGACGATGACTTCTCCCTCCTTACCCTTTGTGAACATTGGTTGATGGCAGTAGAAGCTGACCAAATACGTGTCAATAATTTTGTAACTGAGTCTTATTTTTCCAGAAACTCAACGAAACATGGGGGCACAATGATTATGAGGAACGCTGAGGTTTCTTGCACTCGTCTCCAAAATCTCGTACAACTCTCAATTGAGAAACATGGTGAGATATCTGGAATTTATATGAATAACCTAGAAATTTATGTGATAAATGTCTATAAATCACCCTCTGGAGATCTGAACAAATTTTTGGGTACTTTAGAAAAAGTTTTTGGTATAATTAACACATTAAAGAACAACATAATATTGACTCGTGACTTTAATGTAAAATTTGACAAAGAAGACCCCTTAAAAGACTGCTTATTAGATTTTATGAGAACTTATGGGCTTTTCACTTAGTCGAATTTCCAACTAGAAATAACAACTGTCTGGATAATCTTTTTACAAATCTAGATCACGCACTTTTTCAAATTGGTCCATGGAATTTACACCTATCAGATCATAGAGGCATCAAAATTAAAATGTTAATTTCGTCTACTAAAAACAAACAAAAAACACAGCTTATTAAACATAGGCCGATTACTGCTCTTGGTAAATTCAAATTGTACGAGTCGGTGTCCAATATCAACTGGGACTTCATTAAGCTATATGCAGTAATAATTCAGTTGACGACTTGTTCACAAAATTTGTAAATCTAATAGAAGGTCATGTAGGGCAAGCCTTCCCTCTAAAAGTAGTCAAGCGTCAACCTAACAACAACAAAACTGTAAAGTGGTTTGATAGTGAATTAATTCAAATGCGGGAAACACTACAACATTTATGTGAAATAAATAATCTAATTGGGAGTGAACAAACCAAGTCAGCAAAAAACTCGTTTAGGAAAGTATACCGTGAGAAAATAAATGAAAAGAAAATGCTTTGTAATGAAAAATTCATCTCTACTGCAAGTAATAAAGTCAAGGCTATGTGGAAAATTATCAACGAAACTCGCAATAAAAGTGTTAATAGTCAAAAATTAAGCTGTGATATGACCTGTGACGATTTTAACAACTATTTTATAAATGAAATTTCAAAACTGGGAACGCAAAGCAATAATGACTGTGATGTTGAACTCTGTGATATATCAAGTACGAGCAAGTCTACTCACTCCTTGATTAATAGCCCTAGTTTCAGTTTTAAAGAAGTGTCACACATAAAAGTGAGAGAAGCTATAGATAACCTGAAAAATAGTAATTCTTCTGATATCTTTAATCTTAATGTGAAAATTGTCAAAAGTATAAAGGACTTGCTGATACCTCCACTTGCAAAACTTATTAACTTTTGCATAAAATATTGCGTCTTTCCCAAATGTCTTAAAACAGCGGTCACTGTACCAGTATACAAAACGGGTGATATTAATAATCGATCTAATTATCGACCTATCTCATTACTTCCCATATTTGGCAAAATATTAGAGAAAATTCTATTTGAACAGCTTTGTACTTATCTTGAATCACATGCTTTACATTCTGACTCACAAACTGTAATCCGATAAGTATTTTTACATCTGTGGACGCAGTACGCAGTTTTTCTATTTACAAATACATACTTTAGAATCACCGGAAAAATTTTTGTTAGAATATTTCGAAAAATATTTAAAAATAAATTGTTACCAAAATAGTAATTAAATAGTCGATTACTACTATTTTTTAATTCGTTCTGTTTACCTATATTTATTTTTTAGTACGAGTATAAGAATATTATCTTAAAAAATGTCATTTATTTGTCAGTGAGATCTAATTAAACACTTTGCAATGTGATTTATGTATTTTTTGTAATAAAAGGTAAGGTGTTTTTGCAATTTGTAAATAAATTTAGTTCGGTTATTACGCTTTTTTACTTCCCGAGCGTAAGCAAAGGAAGTATTGTAATCGAGTCCGTCGGCCGACTCTCTACTTTTACGTTTTCTCGATCTTTCATGACCCCTAGAAGACGAAGAAATAGGTCTCCCATTTCCGTCTGTCTGTCCGTCTGTCCGTCTGTCCGTCTGTCCGTCTGTCCGTCCGTCTGTCCGTCTGTCCGTCTGTCCGTCCGTCTGTCCGTCTGTCCGTCCGTCTGTCCGTCTGTTGTCCCGGATTTTTATTAGACAGATAATCTCCGAAAGTACTCGACCGATTGTTGTGAAATTTTGTACTTATATTAAGAATATCATGTAGATGGTAAAACGCTAACCAAAATTTGTCTAATCATCCCCACCACTAATGCGATGACGTCACTTCAAAATTGTACATAGTAAATGGGTTTTCAATTGTATAAAATAACATAGTCCTACACATGTAGTTTACAACTCCGAATCGACTTTTCACCCGAAACGTCCAGATTTTTGGAAAAAAAATCAAAATTATAAAACAACATTTTGAAATTTAATTTTTAATCTGCTAACCAGAATGCTTTGAAATGTTGCAGATGTTTTAAGGCTATAAAGAGCATCATAAATCTTTAGTCAAAAAATATTTGCTTATCCCCTCCAAAAACTTGATGACGTCAGCTCAAAAGTTTGTGGAATAAATCCGGTCTAGGACAATTCGGCGCGGCCGACTTGGCGCGGCCAACTTGGCGCGGCCGACTTGGCGCGAGACATTTTGGCGCAAAGCCAACTTGGCGCAGGGACACTTTGGCGCAAGCCATCTTGGCGCGGACCATCTTGGCGCGAATGAACTCGCACGAAGAAAAATAGATATAATTATACAAAAATTGCACCCGTTGTTAGCATAACCTAATAGTCTCCAACACGTGGAGGGGTAATGTCGACTTTTTAATGGACACACGGGCGCTTCGCGCCCGGCACCCCATTATAAACATACTCCTAAACGTGGAACTTCTTGCTCCGTGGATCATTTAGTTATTGGAATTTGTGTGGATGAAACTGTGTATTTGGTTCCCTACACTTGACATAAATAACGGGGTGCCAACCACAGTACGAACAATAACGATTTTTTATATTATATACAGACGTACTCGCGCCAAGATGGCTCGCGCCAAGATGGCTTGCGCCAAAGTGTCCCTGCGCCAAGTTGGCTTTGCGCCAAAATGGCTCACGCCAAGTCGGCCGCGCCAAGTCGGCCGCGCCAAATAGTCCCATTCCGGAATAAATCATATCTAAAATGTACAAAATATGATGAGTCTGTACTTGTGATCTATCACTCCATTCATATTTTTTGGATTTGCATATACAGGGTGACTCAAAAAAATTAATGAATGCGTAAATTTATTTTACTGATTTACTCAGAAACTACAAAACCGAATGCTTTGAAATCTTGCAGATGTTTTAAGGTTCTAAAGAGCATAATAAATGTTTAGTCAAAATATATTTGCTTATCCCCTCCAAAAAATTGATGACGTCAGCTCGAAAGTTTGCCGAATAAATCCTATCTAAACTGTAAAAATATATGAGTGTGTACTTGTAATTTATCACTCCATTCATATTTTTTGGATTTGCATATACAGGGTGACTCAAAAAATTTAATGAATGCGTAAATATATTTTATTGATTTAATCAGGAACTACAAAACCGAATGCTCTGAAATCTTGCAGATGTTTT